TTCACTCTTCACCTATTTTTGGCAAGTCTGTGAACTGATTCAACCTTTACAAACCTCAAGCCACCAAGGAATTTTCCTCTGAAGATGCTGTACTTCTCTTTCCTCCTTTTACTGTGAAGGTCACAACTAATGGGTAAGAAGTGGTACTTGTATTAGCTTCTGATGGAAACAGTTTCTCAACATGTTATTAAACAAAGTGAATTAGGGACACACACAGGAAATATACCCATTTCTGCTACTACTGTCTTAGCACCCTAGTGTAATCATGGAGAGACTCCACTGTGTGTGTGTGTGTTCCCTGCTCCACACATGCAAGAGACAGTGATGTACTCACCTGCCTGATAGACATTGTGCAGAGAATGTAGAGGAAGATGAAGGAGCAGTCAGTGTAATCCTCACCCAGAAGGTTGCGGTGGGACAGGCCCTGGATGTATGAGAGGGGGATAAAAGGAAGCTTTGCCACCACTCGGCCATCAAATCTGAAACAAAGAATAAAAGAAGAGCACTGGATCACATCTGGGGAACATAAAAGAGCACTTGACTACAGAAAGAACAAGCAAGCATTGCTTGCAGGCCACCAAAGCAGACAAGAACATGGAAGGCTGAAAAGCCGTGCTGCTTTCCCCAACCCATCCTTTTATATTGTCAGAGGTTAAAACAACCCTTTTAAAAAGCCCCCTCACACTCAGTCATCCAAAAGGTAATTGGGCTTCCCTCGATAGCTGTTTTGTCATGGTCAAAGCACATCACAGTGACATGCAAGTGATCAACTGGACTAGTTGGTGATTCATAAGATCTTAGCTGGTGTTTTACAGCTTACTGGTGCATTTTATTCCAGTGCTGACTGGATTCTTCAGTAAGATGGATGACAACCACCCTGCTGTACTGCAGGTACTGCAAGAAGATTGACTCTGCTTTAAGCAAAAGAGCATTATTAAGCAGAGTATAAGTGAAAACATCTGTTTCTTTCCTGGAACAGCTATAATTCTCAGCACAAGATGCACGTAATATCCATCAAAAGCAAACTTAACACCAACAGCCTTCTCTGTTATCTTTGCAAAGGCAGTAGAGGCAGGAAGATACCCCCTATTCCAAGCAGCCTGTTCTGCTCCTGGAACTCCTCCAGCTCCACATTCCAGGGCATCAGGCTGAGTGTGAATTCTGGCCTGTTTGCAAAGATTTCTCCCAGCCCAGACAGTCGTCCCAATCTTTTGAAGTGAAGTGCGTATGATGCCTCATCAGCATGTGCATATTTGGATGTTATTTTCTCTGCATGTGCTGATTTTCTAACAGGTGTTTCTTGTTTCAAGAGATCCTAAACGAGTGTTCTTTCCTGTGGAGATGCATTCACACAGCTACAGCTCAAACACATGCCAACTTTGTTTACATCTCACAGGCAGTTTGGCAGAAGAACTGGGAACGGATGTTTATCTCCCAGTAACATCCCCCAGTGGTTTAAAATTCTGCGTTATTCCTGCTGTGAGAATGACAAGTACTCCAGCAGCAGCACCCTGAGGTACCTGCTGTTTCCTCCAGCAGGCCTTTACAATTAGCATGAAGAGGTACTGAAATGCACAGCTCAGAGCAAGACGGGGAATTGATTGCATTAAGAAGCTTCTGACAAGAGAAAATTGAGACACACAGAAGCTAAATTCTCTCCCAAGAGAAAGCCCATCTGCTTGGAGGGCACCGCTGCTACAGAACTCCCAGCCCTAAAGTATCTTTTAAGCCACAACTGTTCATCTTCACGCAGCACTTCATTCCCTGGGTTTAAACCAGCCTGCATTACCCTGCTGCTCCATTAGTACTGCCACAAGACAGAGGCAATCATCACCATCGTGTCCACTTTGGCTTGGCTGACTTGGCAAAGGCAAGGTGCCCAGCTACAGTGCAGCAGTGTCCAAACAGCACTTGTCCAAAGGGTGGCAACACCACGCTGCTTCCACCTGACTCCTGCTTCTTTTGTTCCCCAGAGCAACAAACTCATTCAAGAGCAGGAAATCATGCAAAGTGGGCTACAGTCATTGCAGGTGTCAGCCATCCTTTTCTTCCTCTTCATACCACACTTGCAGTGCCTCGGTGAATGATCTGGCAACAGCAGCTTCTCAGAAGGAGCCTAAAAGCTCCTGCATTCATCACTGAAGCGTTCTCTTGAACCACACAGCTAGTCTTTACACCATGCCAAGAGAATGCACGTACATGAGTGGGAACCAGTTTCCTCAAACTAATCTGCAAGCATGAGAAAGTGCAAATAAAAGCCAGCAAAGCCATCTCTCAGATACAAATGCACTAAGCTACCCCGCACTGAGACCTAGAGCAAAATAAAATCAACTAAAAATCTAACTATCTGCCCCAAAAGCAAGACAGGCAAGACTCCAGACTGTAATTCAGTGGCCTCAGAACTCCTATACTCAGCAACAAAGCTATTTCAGTTCAAACAACGCTCTGAATAGCTCATGCTGCTTCTGTGTTGGCTCCCAGGACAGTCTCAGAAGAAAGGGGCAGTTTAAGGCAAGACATGCCTGAAAGCATCACATGAGCCCCGTGGACAGTAGCATGATCTCTGTGGACAGAAACCCTCAGAGCAGAAGGAATACACATCAATTTGGTAGCCCAATTAAGTGAATCAACAACAAATCAAGACAGTACCCAGATTGTAAAGCACTTTAGTGCCATGCTCCCCTGCTCAGTTTCACAGCATTCCAGAGAACGTTAGATGCTGCAAGTCAGACCAAGCTGAATAAATAGAGAGTCCACACAGTGGCAGTTCTGTTACTCCCTGCTTGCAGTTATCCACCCACAGTCCTGCAGTAAAATAACAATTGACTGTACCCTAAGGACTGCCACCCCAAGAATGTAAATACCCATCAGCAGAGTAAGTTCACTGCCTAGGTACTGAACAGACTCCTGAAAGTCATATTGACCTATTATATTCAGATTTAACAGCTAACAGAAAGTTCATATTTCAAGACCAAACCAAGTTTTAAAAGCCAAGCAGTTCTTCAGTTCTGCATCTCTGAAGGAAAGCTTTCCATAACCATGCAAACCAGATTTTTTTTGTTTCAGATTTTGACTAGACCAACTCCAGGTCGCTTTTTTAAAATCAAAAGAAGATTGGAGTCCATGCCTGAACCTGTTAACATCTTGACTCTGATCACCTTAAGTAGGGCAACAGCAAACTCTGCAATTACAGCTCATTTCTAAGGGCAGGAGAGCTGACCCAGTTTTGCTTTCAAGTGTTCTTTAGTCACATTATAGCAGAGCCAAATAAGCTGAAGACCATGGCTGCTTGCCTGGAACCTACCAAACTTACTGTGGTCAAGATGTTCCCAAACAGAAAGGATCATAAGCTGTGTTCAGTTTGCATTCATTTTATTCAATTTAACAGCACCCAGCTTGCAGTATCCACTCTTGACAATATGCATGCTGTGACCAGACCATATAATTCATGTGATATTTTGATCCATTTTACAGATTAGTTATGGTTCTCGGATAAAATCCTAAAAAGGTATATATATTCAACGTGAACATTTAAGAAAAATACAAAAAGCTGATACTTACATAGAGTTAAACATCCCCATCAAGGCAGTGAAGCAAAAGCCAATGGCAAACATGGATTTCATCCGAACCTGTAAGTTGAAAGGTCAGAGAGAATCAAACAGCAGACAACAGGACTACACTGAGAGGTTAGGGCTCACAACCTCAAGAGCAGGCCTTGTACAGCATCACAGGAATCTAGAAAGAAAAAAAGATGACACAGAAGGCTGGACGGACTGCAAAAGGAGTGACCAGAAAATACCCAAATTTGAGTCCAGTCAACAACTGGGCACAAAGATGCCACAATGTGGAACACTGTTGTGAAGAACAACTTAAGAGAAAAAAGGAACAAAGATTACTCAGAAATTGTCTTGTTAGCTTTCATAGGTAAGCCTACACAACCAGTAGGAATTCATTCTAAAAAACAACTTCCAAGAGGAAGTCAGACAAATAAGTTCTACATCAAAAACTTATGAAAACGAAAGGGGCTAAGGATGGGGATACGGTGAGGTGGTAACTGCTGAAGAGTTTCAACTAAGATCTGTACCTATCAGAGGTAATCCAGAAAGAACTGTGAGGAGGAGGAGGAGCTGCTAGAGCTGCCAAATGAACAAAGACTTTGTTGGAAAACTACTGAGTGAAATCGTCAGCAGATGGAAACTGGCTCTACTTTTCTTACCATTGACAAGTCTCTGTTGTTATTCTTCAGTTTCTCCTCTTGTCTCTCTAGAAGGACAAAAACAACAACAGTTATCATCAGTTATACCAAGCTAGAAACATGAACATTTTCATTTCCAGGAAGACTTAACCTTCCTAGCTCTCCAAACAAGTAACACTCCCCGAATCAACTCCAGCTCTCCGTGCCAAACAGTATGAAGTGGAAAAATCATTCATTGCAAATTGCTTCCCCATCCCAACAACACACAGCAAAGCAGGCACAAAAGAGGAGCAAACCAGAAGAACCATACACTCAGCACTTCTGGAAGAAATGCACAGAATGTCAGATTTGCCAGCTCAATCAACTAACACAGCAGCATGAACAACACTGCCGGAAAACAAAGAGATTGCCTACAAAGCACGCTTCTGAAAGCTGTGCTCACTGCTGTAAGCACATCACATAAGCAAGGATTTTATTTTCAAGATGTCAGACTGAGGATCCAGAGGTGCACCCAGGGCTTTGAAACTACAGTAAGGATGTGGATGAAGTATCCAAAGAATAATGTGAAAGGAGAAAGGAAGGAGGATGCAGAACCACTATCAAGGGCTCTCCGACAGGCAAGCTGCCCAGCAGATCCTGCTGAAGTTTCAGTACAAGAAGTCCGCAACACAGAAGCTCAGAGGATCATTTTTCAAGCCCTGAAGAAAAGTTGATAAATACCGAGACCTGCAATCAGTGTGGTTACAAAGCAAGAGAAACACCCCTACCCAATTTCTTAGAATCCTCCTTGCTGTTTTCAATTGCTAATAACTGCAAACCATTCCTGCAGGCAGGAACTTTCCACACACCTGTTTCCTGACCTAGGTGGAGAGTTTTGTTTTCAGACATATCAGCAACTAGGCCAGATCTTTAGGAATCACATTTGGCACAAATACTTGTTTTTTCCCCTTACCTACATAACTAACCATCTATTTAGATGGACTAAAGGTTACACAGCGATGGAGAATACAGCCCAGATCCCACCATGCCTGACCCGTTTCTTATTTCTACAAATTCAAAATAAATATGAGGACTGGTTTAATGAGGAGCATCTTGTAGTACCAGCTCTTCAAATTCTGCTCATTGGAACAGGAACCATGAGGATACAATAAAAAACCTTCTTTGCCAGCATTGGGTTTACAAGCACCACTGGGAATGCCACAGTCTCTTATTCTAGGTGCAGAAAACCAGAGCAAAGTTATAAGTGATCCAACACACTCTTCCAGTTGAAGTGGCAGAAGGCTCCAGAAACATAAAAAGTGATTTAGACACCACGAATAAAATTGGCTCACTCTACAACTAATAGAAATTGTTAAGTAAGAAACACCAAATTAAGCTTGGCCATGCAACTTTCATCCTCCCTCCTTGTACATGCGCATGATTCATCTGTTGTGTGACCAAGCAAGATTGCACTCACACCTCCTGCCTTGTTCTGTGCACAAGACAAATGGCAACTGGGGCAGGTCTGCACCACAGCTGTGACTATCCTAAGAGAAGTCATCTTTTGTTGTTTTTTTTTTTCCATTATCTAGAATTTTAGAACTTAAAGTAACCCCAGCACAAGTCATCTGATTGTTACAACGATGCTACAATCTGCATAACTCAGCCACTGACATCAGTTTTCAGTGGCTATGAGTCATTTTCTGGATGCCCAGATGGGCATGTAGGCCTGATTTTTCAGAAACACTAAGAACGCAGCTTTGCCCAAAAGCAAATGACTTATGCAGCACTTGCAAAACAAAACCCAACCAACCTAACACTCAGTATCTTAAGCTTGGCCAGCAAGCAACACAGCAAACAAAATCAGTGGTCACTTCCTAAGTTTTGTTCTTAATCCCTTTGTGCTTTGTTTTCATTTACAAAACAAGATTATTTCAGCATATTAAAAAAAACAGTGCAGCACCTGAATTCCTCAGATTCTACTGTTTATTAGTTTAGTCCAAGCACAAGTAAAATAGTCTCTGCTAAAAACATAGCTTGGATAGCACCCTGCAAAGTCACTGACATGTTGAAAAGCGACCATAAGTAACAACAGCCACTGAAAATCAAAATCGCCTTATCCAGTCATTTTATTTATCCCATATATGGGTTACTTAAGACTAACAGCTGAAAATAGGAAGAACAGAGGGAGAATTTGGGTTCCTCTCCTTTCAGAAGTGTAGCAATAACAGGTTTTATACCTAGGAAGAACTGTTTGAAGATGTGTTTATAATTACTCTGGAGCTTTGAACAGATCAAATGAGCAATTCAGCTACCTGGTGTTACAGAGGAACAAGGAAACCAACTCCCAGGAGCTCTCAGAAGTATTCTTGCTATGATTTCTGTAATAATTTAACCAGGCTTTACTGTACGTTTTACTTTAGAGACCTGAAGATAAGAGAACCTTCTAAAGCTCAGACGCATTAAACATCTACCATGTTATTCTTGCACAATCCACTGTTTAAAGAGTTACCTTAACACAGTAAAACTGTATTGACAATGAAAGACAGAACGGGAAAAAAAAGATAGCATTGCTCAATTCTAGGTACTGATTTATCAAATTTTAAATAAATGTAAGCACAGAGTCAACTCACACAAATATCTTCAGCTCTGAAGTGTTCAAAAATGAAGGTCATAATAAAAATCACAGTCAGAGCTACTGCAAGCTGTCAGTACACTGCAGCAAAGAACTTGGGCAACTGAAATTAATAAGTCACATCCACAACTGTTGATCACCTCTTGGTGAGGCTGCACTTCTCTAATTTCATTAGAACCATCGAGAGGACACCCGCCTCCCGTTCCGGAGGAATAAGGCATCAAGGTTCACGTGCCAGTTGCCATGCTAAGAACCAGCTCCAGTATTGCTTCAAAAGGAGGGAAAGTCACTTTCTCCATGTTCCTATGGCACTGCACTCCCCTCCTAACCTTACCTATTTTCTTTTTCTGCTGTCGGCCTGCTGACTCAGTTATCGTTTCTTTCTTCTTTTCCACTGCAAAATGCAAAGAAAGATATTCCATCACTTCTGCACAGACACTAACCCCCCCTCCTTCCACACAAGAAAACAATTTTAATTCCCTTTAGAGAACAGAAGCACAGAAGGAAGTTATAACTATGAATATGTTCAGAACTAACAAGTTATTAACCACTCCATGTTGATCAGATGCAAACTGAACATTGAAAAATCCAAAAATCTTTCCCAAAGCTTGGATGACATATAGGAATGTTTCAAAGAGTCAATTTTAAATTCTGTTGAGAACACATTGTTAACCAAGCAGCCTGAGGACAATCTTAGCTCAAATGACCACTGCTGATTTGTCATTAGTAGTAGACAGTACTTTTGATTCAGCAAGTCTAATGAAAAGAGCTTTGTGGCAAGCTCTGCACCCGATTATCTGCAGTGGGAAGCAGAACACAGAAAAGCTTGTGTTCTCTGCCTGCCTGTGAAGAAGGGGTGTAATTCTCAGGGGAAACGCCATCCAAGCAGTCAGCCAGAGCATCTCCATTCCTTTTCAATTAGTACTAAAGCAGTTCCAGTCCTCTAAAGCAAGAGCCTAAACTCATAGTTAATAAAACCCCAAGTCAGACACTCTCCAAACAAATCCAAACAACCAACACTGCATTAAAAAAAAAAAAAAAACCCTAACATAAGACCAGCATAGCAAGCTTCAAATATAGGAAGTGTGCTGCTCATCTGAAAGCGCTCTTCTGGAAACAGCCAGAGCAGCTTTTCCAAAAAGAGACTGGTCTTGTAGTGCTCTTGTTATAGGTCTTACCTCAAGAAAGGATGATAAAGCACAGCCATGGTATAAAAACACACAGCAGTCTTTTCTTACCCCAAACTCTACATACATCTACTGTATTTTCCACCAAGCAAACTTGACTCTTGTAAGCTCACACAGTCAGCTGTAGAGAGCTGAGCACCAGAGCTCTTCTCTCACATCAGTACTAGCTCAACACAGATGTTAGATCATAGAATCCTTAGAGCTGGGAGGGACTTCTGAGGGCCATCTGGTCCAACTTCCCTGCAATGAACAGGGACACCACAGACATACTCTAGTGTGGATTTTAAAGCTCAGGTAAAATGAAAACAGCCTTCCAAGTTATAAAAAGGTGTGTTGTGCTGGCTTCTGAAGCGCTTGTGATCTGCAATTCAGCCACATACAACTGCTAGGAAATCCATGCTAGCCTAAACAAAGTGTCCACATACCATCTACAACACACCTGTTGTAAGACAGCTGCTTTTCCAAAGAATGAGCACATCTAGAATGAGCAAGATAGAAGGGCACAAGCTAGGCAAGCCCATTCAGAGGGAATGCTGGACAGAGGTGCCAGACAACCATACATCTGTGCTCACAAGAGAACTCTTGCTCCAGCTGGGATACCCCGATCAGTCCAACCCAACCCTAGCCCACATAATTCCATAGCCTGGCAAACACTGGCTTTTCAGGGCTATCTGCTCTTTCCAGCTGTAACCAGGGGCACCTCCAAATCCCAGCTTCACTCCAAGTAATGCTATTGGACCTTATGTCAGCCCTGACAGGCCCTACAGGCTAACTTCCCTTATAGTTTGCACAGGACAAATAACTGTCAGGCAGCCTCACAAGGCTGTCTGCAGGAATATGGATAACACTTCCAACCATACCCTGCAGACCAGAAATACTTATTGCAAGTTTACTGCTACATTTATCCCAAGACACCTGCTATCATTTCTTCATCAGTCTCCAATAACACTGTGTCTCTCAACAGAAACAAGAGAATAGGAAGAGATGAAACTAAGGATTGTGAGTAACAGTGCTGCTCAAGCATACTACTCAGCCCATTTGTTTTGGCAAACTGTTAGGATTGCTAGTACTCCCAAAGGAGAACTTAAAGATCTCTCATGTGTTTTTTCCTGTTTCAGATGTGTTGGACAACAGTTGAAAGGTGTGGCTCAAGAGCTCTACAAATTGCCTGTAAGCCATCAGGTCAGCCAGCTGTCCTCATTGCACGAGGAAAACAGATCAAGCCTTGATTTTTAGTAACTCCTCATTATTCTGTTCTTTTTTGGGGGGGAGGGTGAGTGGTGATTTAGGGGAATAGACAGCATCAAACAAGGAGATTAGAAACTGAGATGCATGAACTTTCTCTTCACAGATTATAACCTAGATATCAGGACAGCTATAAAAAAGCTGCGCTAAAGCCTTACAGAAATCATTACACTGCAGAGATTAAGCCAAGCTAACAGCCTTTGAGTTCTACTCTTCAGTTTTCAGCTGGGTTTCAATTACTTCTAAAACTTGCCTTCTGTGGCTAATTCTGCCCAACTCATCTTTATCAGCCAAACAGGATTGGAGTGGGGTGGGCACAGATGCAATCCCCAACTGATACTGCCAAGATGACAAAAGCCCCTAAATTTAAGAGCTGAGACACAAGGATGACTAACTTTCACTTTCCAGCTTATCTTGCCCATGGGAAGGCTAGACTGGAAAGAACGTGGTTTAATAATATTTTCTCTTGTTTTCCAGAAGCACTGATATAATGGTGAAAAAACATTAAGGTTAACAGCAGCTCAGGTTCAACTCCCACATCATCACGTACTGTCTCTCACTGCTGGAATCTGCACAGAGAATATACAATTAAGTTTGAACACGTAGCTCAATTTCTCCTCTGCCCCTTGGTTTCTGATACAGACAGGTCCATTGAAACACTCCATGCTCAAACATACCTTTTCACAACTTCTTATTTTAATATCTGACATGTATCTCCTGACTGCACACTCTCTGCTCCTTCTTCCTATCCTTGTCTAATCTTTCCCAGACCTCTTGAAATTACCTTCTACCCAATTTTATTTTTGTTTCCAATCTGTAACAGTATATTTTTATATCAGCTGACAGCTTAGATTCTTCTATCATAATTCTGTCTTTACCCATTTCCCATGCTTAATCATGCCTTTTTAGGTATTATGCTTTACCTCTCAGAGGTATTCTTTTAAACCATTCTTACTACATATATCAAATCCTTCATCCTCTTTGAAAAACAGAAACTGCATCCCTGAATTTACTTTGGGGATCCAAAGGAATACAAATATACACACACACATTGGTTACTCATGCTCAGAAGCTGACTCCAATACAGATCTCCCTCCTGTCCTCCAAGAAAAGCAGAGCGGATGGACTAAAATTGAGATCTTTCTACCAGCCTCAATTCCATAAAAAGGCAAAAATTAAGAAGAGAGATAGTACTTTCTGTACCAGTTTAGCTAATCTACTGTAATGCTATAATGGGATGATAATAGCAGGGTGGCAAAGTCTTTGGCTACAGCAGTGGAGGACCAGCCCAAATGCAGCAGTCACAGATGCAAAAATGAAGAAAAAGAGCTGCTTACCTCAGCTAGGCAGGGATCGCCAGCAAGAGAAACCCTCACCTCCACTGCCAACCCTTAAATGAGGTCTGGGAAAGGGTGGATCCTGGCTTCACCCCTTCCAGTCACTCAGGTTCACTGCACACATCTGAGCTCCCCTGGGTTGGCCCTGCCTTCCCACCAGGTGCTCAATCATTGCTTCAGGTCGTGACTTAGCATTTCTACCACACCTGTAAAATTCAGATCCAATGAAGCCCAAACTTCTCTCCCTTAGAAGAAAATAGGAATATCTCAGAGCACAGACTCTGTTCATTTTTACATTTGCCAAAGCAGGCTACAAAAAGAACAGCAGAAATTCTCTCTAATATCTGAAAAGTACTTACATTTTTTGCTCTGTTTTTCCACTTCAGCCTTTAATCTCTTGTATTTGTCTGTTCGGTATACCAGCACCCAGGTTATACCTGAAACAAATAACCAGCACATATCTAGGTAAGTAAAGACCTCCTGTGATAAATAAGGATACGAGTTTGCAAATGTGTGTGCAGAAAATACATTGCGTCTACAAAACCATGTTATAATACAACAAAGGTACCACAAATCATGATCAAACCAGTCATGTCACAAGTGCTGAGCCACAGGTTTCTGAGCTGCTTAAACTGAGCTCTTACAAAAGGCTCTTGGTCCCTTTTTTTGAGGGGGGAGCTTTGATTTTACAGCAGTGCTGTGCTACTGAGTCCCTGGAATCACCAGCTGCAGAGAAGGGAGCCATATGGACACTTTGGAAAGTTTGCACTGTCCTGCAAAAGATAATGAGGTGAATACCAGCTGAGCCCAACACAATACAGGACTCCCAGAAAGCAAATGCCATATTCAGCATGGGGTTCTCTTCTGAATTTCCCCAGAAATAAGGTCTTGAAGCCCTAGGACATGAGGAGATTTAGGCTGGACGTTTGGAAATACTACTTTTTTTGAAAGAGTGTTTAGGCACTGGAATGGGCTGCCCAGGGAGGTGGTGGGAGTCAGCGACTCTGGAGGTGTTCAAGGAATGTTTGGATTTTGTGCTTAGGGATGTGGTTTAGTGAGAACTATTGGTGATACATGGATTGTTGGACTGGATGATCTTAAAGGTATTTTCCAACCTTGGTGATTCTGTGATTTTGGGGATTATTCCCAGCGCCAGGGAAAGAGAGCAGCCTCTGATTTGGAATGTCTCAAAAAGTATTCATTCAACCAGACCTTAACAATCTGTGCCTGTTTCTTCACCCTGACATTTAACAACCCCAAATGCAGCCAATTTAGGTCTTCCTCACTGCAAATTCAGTCGATTCCTTTGTATCTGTTTCATAACAGCTACAAAAAGAATCTCATAATTGCTCAGGTTGGAAAAGACCTTTGAGATCATCAAGTTCAACTGCAAGTCACCAATATCTTCTTCATTTAGAGGAACACGCTGAAAACTGTTATTACCTCCTCCCACTACCTCCTTCCTTCTAAAACAAAAGGCCCATTCCCACCACCATGCACCGCCAGGCAGTTTTATTTAGGTGCTACCCACCGCCACCCTCTGATGTCCCAAAGCCCACCTGTACCATCACCAGCCCTGAGGGGCTCTGACTAAGCGATCCCTCTTTCACACCTCCCTCTTCTGCTCTCCCTTTCTCCACGTCTCCCCAAAACAAACCCCATCTTGCCAATCCTTCCTCTCCCCCCGCGCTCAGGGGCACGGAGAAGGGGAGGCAGCCCCCTGACAACTGCCCCCAGTCCGTCCTGAACAGCACCAGCAGGCCAGGCCCGGCTCCGCGGCCTACTCCCGCGCCGGGCCCAGCCGGGGCAGGCCTCACCGCAGCGCGACCGGTGCCGGACTGCACTCACCCTCGGCCAGCAGCGCGGTACAGACGGAAATGAATACGATGAGAAGGGTATCAGCGAACATGGTGCTCATGGTGCCACCCGCCCCACCGCCGCGCTCCCGGAAGCAGGCCCCGTCACCCGGAAGCTACTGAAGACCGCGTCGCCTAGCAACGGGCGGAAGCGAAGGTGTAAGCCCCGCACTTCCGGGTTGCTGACGCTAGCCAATCAGCTCGGCGCTGGGAGAAGGGCGGCAGGAAGCAAGGGGGCGGGAAAAGCGCGAGCAGACCCTTCTCTGATTGGAGGAGCCGGCCGTCAATGTGGGTGTGGTCCCGCCCCTGGCTGTTGGGATAGAGGAGTGGGTATTGCCGCAGTGTCGTAGTGCTGGGGAGTGGGGTTGGCCCCGGTGTCTGCTGCAGGCTCTGGAGTTCTGCCAGGCTGTTGCAATGCCCTAGAATAAAGTATATATAATACAATACAATACAATACTTTCTAATAATCTGTCATCAGCTCTTTGTTGGGATATGTTACTGGCCTTTATGCCCCTTGAGTCCCAAGTGCTGGAGCCACAGGGCATCTCAGTGCCTGTGTGCAGTATGTGCAGATGGAGCCTTGCATTTCAGTGTCTGTGTGCAGTATCTGCAGATGGAGCCTTGCATTTCAATGTCTGTGTGCAATATCTGCAGATGGAGCCTTGCATTTCAATGCTTGTGTGCAGTATGTGCAGATGGAGCCTTGCATTTCAGTGCCTGTGTGCAGTATGTGCAGATGGAGCCTTGCATTTCAGCACTTGTGTGCAGTATCTGTAGATGGAGCCTTGCATTTCAATGCTTGTGTGCAATATCTGCAGATGGAGCCTTGCATTTCAGTGCCTGTGTGCAGTATGTGCAGATGGAGCCTTGCATTTCAGTGCCTGTGTGTAGTATTTGCAGGTGGGATGAGGCTTGGACCACTAACCGGACAGGGAAGTGATGGCAAGGATCCAGCAGGCTAATTGACTTTTATTGGGGCTACACCTGTAGCAACAGGAGACCAAATCCACAGGCTATGCTAGGATGAGGAGACCTGGGAAGCTGACAAGGAAGCAGGGAGTGTCAGGTCCGGGTCTCCTTGTGTAAAGCTGGGGTTTGCCAGCAGTAATCAGTGCCTCATGGGGTTACGTACATGAAGTGAAATATAAAATAAGGAAGGTAGAAAGCCCTGCCGTTGCCCACAAGTTAAACACTTCTCAGAGAGGTGGTGGCAAAGTGGTAGTTCAGTGGAAGCAACAAAGTGATAAATGAAGGAGGTGAGATAAGGCAGCAAACAAACCCTCTGCAGCCTGATGACATCCACAAGCAAAACACAAAAGCCACACGTGTGCAGGTGTCTGTGGTGGCTCTGGTGTCACTACAGCTTCCTGCTCAGAGAGAGCCATCAGAGCACCGTGGGTGACATTAATATGTGGCTGAAGGACAGATGAGGAGCTGGGAGAGGTTTGATTTCATCTGGCGAGCTTGGGATGTAAGCAAAAGGAAAATGTTTGCCTAATACATGGCTCTGGATGAGCGAGCTAAGGGCCCATCCAACCTATAAACATTCTGGATGCAGCAGAGGTGGTATTTCTGTGGGTAACCCTCATACCCACGTTGGAAGAAGACATGTCCAAACAGATTTTGTGTACTGAAGTCTCCAGGCTTAACAGAACAGAAGATTGGATTGCTCTGCAGGCTGTCAGTGACTGGCACTGCTCAGGAAGAGCAATGTAATCTCCTTGGGTACGTTCCTATGAAAGCTGCTGTGAAGTTAACTGAGGGTTGGATCTGATTCTCTTCTCCTTTACTGTTCTGTCCTGGTTCTGAAAGAGCTGTTAATCTCATTTTTGCATGTTCTTTTTGTTCTGTATATTGGAGTTCTCAATATCCCTCACTTGCACCCCATCACAAGATTTTTACTTATTTTACCCTCTACAAGTGCACCCTGCCACAAGGGGAATGATGATGCGATGCCACAATAGGCATCTTGCAGAGCACCTCAGGCCAGAGGCTGCATGGTCTGAAAAGCCCTCAGCACAATAGAGATTCTGATCTGTCCCCACAAAAGGACAAGAGAGAGGCTGGCAGCAGTGAGGGAGGAGAACCCAGTAACATGGAGGTAACTGCACACCAAAGGGGCTTTGCATGTATGTGCATGTGAATTGATCTGGGGGTAGGAATGATGAGCTTGGAACAGCTCTTGGTGATGTGCAGGAAGCGTGCCCGCAATTGGTGCTTGGAAATTGGCATGGGGCCATGGGAACCCACTGGAATTTGTCCTCGCAGGAAGCTCCCATCTGCATTTAGTACTTCCTGCCCTGGCACTGCCACACACTGTCATGTTCCCAAGTGACAGGCTGGGCTCTGCGCAGGGAGAATCAAGAGCAGGGACAGAGGGGCTGCACCTTCCCTGGAGATCTCCTTCTCATCCTTGTGGTGAGGGCTGGCATCTCATCTGGCAAACATCTCCACAGTGTTGTAGTGAAGTGGAAGAAGCTACAAACCTCACATCTGCGAGCAGAATGGGGAGGAATCTCAGCATGTCACTTAGGACATCTGTGTCCTGAAGAGGGATCAGCTCCATCAAAAACTGGGGGATGGTTTTAAACTAAAAGAGGGAAAATATAGATTAGATGTTTGGGGAAAATTTTTCACCCAGAGGGTGGTGAGGAGCTGCCCAGAGCTGTGGGTGCCCCATCCCTGGAGGTGCCCCAGGCCATGGATGGGCAGCTGAGCTGGGGGGCAGCCAGCCCATGGCAGGGGTGGGGCTGGGGAGCTTTGGGGTCCCTTCCAACCCAACCATACTGTGATTCTATGAAAAACTTTCTATATGGGAGCTTTCCCAGTGTGCTTTTTTTAAATCCTGGATGGTGGAGAGTCCCTGCTTTCCCAAAACAAATCTAGTCTGATAGTTCTTTCTCACACTTACATAGAAAATATCCTTGAATATCTACTCTGAATTGTCCCTGTTGCAATCTGAGCTGGCAACGTTCTGTTCCAGTCCTTGTGAGTAGCAGAAATGTTTTCCCTGCTGTTCATGATGCCCTTTTGTAAGTGGTCTCCTCAGCCATCTCATCCCCAGGCCAACACACACAGCTCCCACGGTCCTTTCTGTAAAGCCAAACCTCCGCCTGTTCCCTGAGGTTCCATCCTTCTGTCTGGCCGCATCTTTCCCTGCCGTGGGCTGGCTGCCCCCACCAGCTCAGGTTGCCCAGGGCCCCATCCAACCCACCCTCGGGTACCTGCAAGGATGAGGCACCCATAGATCTGGGCAGCATTGCCAGGGCCTAAATCTTTACCAGCAGAAGAGCCGTCCAGCCGGTGTTGCACGTCCCTAAGTGCATCACACGGAGCTCACCCTTTCGGACTCGCATGGTACATTTGATACGGCTTTGCCAAGCGCCATTGCGTCCCGGCCTCCTCGGGGACAGCTCCCGTTTGCCCACTGCAACCAGAAGCATCTGGATGGGCAGACTCGAGGCGCTGGGGCTGCAGAAGCAGAGCGAGGAGCGCGAGGTCGCCGCAAAGAAGCCCGGGGCGCACCGTGGGGAGCGCGGCCGGGGGGGAAGCAGCCGCCTCGCCTTTGTCCCCGGGGTTGGAGGGGGGGAGGCGCGGGGCTGCGCGGCCGGGTGCCGGAGCATGTGCAGCTGCAGCAGGCACCTGGCAGGGAGCCGCAGCGGCGGGGATGTGAACCAGGCGGGGAGGAAGGCCCTTGACTCATCAGATAAATCCAGCCCCGCCAGGAGAGCGGAGGCGGCGCGGCGCTAGCAGGGGAGGATGGCGGGGGACAGCGAGCAGCGGCTGGAGGAACAGGGGCAGCCCAGCGGCGGCGAGCCTTTCCTCATCGGGGTCAGCGGCGGCACGGCCAGCGGCAAGGTGCGGGGAGAACGGGGAGCGGGGATCGGGTGCACGCAGGGAGGCCCCGGGGACGGGCGGCCGCCACCGCCGCGCCACGTGCGCCGCTGCTGCTGCTGCTCCGGGGCCCCGGGTGGGGACTGCGGGGACACGGAACGGAACCGAACGGAACGGGGGCTCCGTGCGGCCAGCCGGGCACCACCCTGCCTTTCTATTAACGCTCCATCGAAGGGCTGCCCGCCCGCTGGCAATGCGGTTATTCTTCACGCTTTACAACCCGGCCGATCGGCCGTTGCCCCCTCCGTACGCGTGGAAAGAGGTGTGGGTGTTCTTTTTTAGTTTTTTTTGGTGTTTTTTTTTTTTTTTTTTTCTTTGGAAAGGCAACCTTGGGGCACCGCGTGGCGAGCTGCTGACTCACAGCAGAGCCGCACCGAACCGGGGGCAGGTGGGGGCGAGGGGCGGCCGGGCTGCAGTGCTGCGCCCCGGTGCAGAGCTGGGCTTTCCCCGCGGCCTAAAGAAAGCAAGCCCACTGCGAGCACTCGGTACTTTCCTATTTGTTTAACCTAATGTAGGTCACTTTTTCCCCCCATCTTTAAAGAAAATTACTTCCCCCCCCGCCCCGATCCATCGTACCATCTCCCCATGCAGCATTCTACCTGCGTTTTTTAAAAAGAGGGAGCATAAATGGCAGTGGAAACACCTCTGGAATGTTTCTTGCTGAGAAAACGTGGGCTGTGGCAGAGAGCCTGTCTGTGGGTTCACTCTAGAGGGGCCTTTCTCCCTTTAAGGGATGGTGTAACCCAGCTGCTGCCCCCCCCAGCCCATAATCACAGCGATATAAGAATATGTTGCCAAGCCTCCTATTGATTCTTCAACCGCAGCTCCTGCTGCGAGGAGGAAAAGTCCAGATATAACAGGGAAGGGATGGCAAGAGAGGATGCAATCTCTTCCACTGGGAGCAGGGCTGGATTGTTCCTGCGGCACGGCTCCGGTGACTCAAACGCTGGGGTTTGTGTGCTCCCTGATGCGTGGGTCTGCCTCTCTGTAGCTGTCCCAGTAACATTGTGTCTGGCACTGCTCCACTGTTATGTCTCCGAACAGGGTGTCTCTGGGCCCGCAAGGTAACAGCAGTGATTGCAGTACAGTTCGCCACGGTTGTTCTCAACTTCAAAGTGGAAATGCTTTAGCAGCAGCCGGCTGCCTTAGAAAAAAAAATAGGGAAATGGTTCTTTCTAGCAAGGGAGATGTACTAGCTGGCTTTTCCTGTCTCAGCTTTGATTTCCCCCCCTCCCTTTAGTGGGCTGCTAAAAAGCTCTGCAGCACTGCCTGCTGAAGGGAATCCAGCAGATCTATACAAAGTTTATGGGAAAAGGCTGCAAGAAATATGCTGGGGGGTGGGAAAGACCAATAAGGCTCGCTCAAGGAGAAGCAATAAGAAGAAAGGAGCAGGGGCTTGTGCGTGTGGACCCTCTCATTCTTGCTGGGATGCTGCAGGGGTCTGTCTGCAGGTGATGCTGTGGGGAGGCAGCTCCCACCCACCACCGTGCCCATGTTCTGGCTGCGGGTGGGAGCAAAACACACCCGCAGGGAAAGCAAAGCAGGCACCTTTCCCACTGGGAAGGTGGCAAGGCGGCAAATCTGCCCGCCTTCACACCAATTGAGGGTTGTTGTCCTAACACACCCCTTTGGCAGAGCACCAGCCCCAAGATAACGGAGGGTGTTTGCCGCCCAGAGGCCCCCCCTGTTCCTCCCACTAATGTTTTTGTTGAGTCTAAGATGGGGAAAAAGGCTCCGTGGTCCGCCTGCATCCCCTCTCTGTGAGCTGGGATGGTCTCTGGTTGGCATTTCTGAAAGCCAGGTTGGTGAGAAGTGCGATTCAAAGGCTGGCTGCTGTTCCTTAGTGAGCAAGGGAGCAAGTCTGGAGACTCAGGTAGGAGGTGGAAACCTAAACACCCTCCTGTCTTTGGCCTTTGGGAGAAATCAGGACTGTGCTGGGGGGACACATGGGGTGTAGCAGAGGTGCTGGCATGCTGCAGTCACTGGGCAGGCAGTGCCAGCACTGTGCTGGCTCCTCACAAAAGCCTGAGGGGAGACAGAATTTCCTTCTCCCGCTGTCCCCCTAAATCCAAACTGCGTCCAGCCTGGACAAAGCTTGCTGCCATCTGATGTGGAGGAGATGACACGGCATTGAGACCCCCTTCTGTGCCAAAACCAGGCACAACCGCCTCCTTCCCTCAGAGGGATTCCCAGAGCTGGTTGTTGTAGCATTTTCTTTCATGCTCAATGCCTTCAAAGTGCTCTGCTGAAGCTTTGTTCTCTTCTTTTACCCGTGGTCTTTGTGCTAACAGCTTCTTCCCTCCCTCCCATGAGACACTCCTGGCTACCAAGTGCCGCAGCACACAAGGCAGGCAGCCAGGCTGGGGGAGAGTCGGGTAGAGGGACTGCTGGGATGGGCTGGGAAGTGCCAGGATGAATCCAGGGGGTCTCTGGGTGGCTCTGCTTCAGCCGAGCTGCTGGGACCCCACAGCAATGGAGCTGGGGTGGCTGCAGGAGTGAGGAACGCTCCTCAAAGCCATGCGGAGGCATTATTTGCTGGTCCCCACATGATGCAAATGAAGTGCTGAGCGCTACCTTCCAGCAGGAGGCTGGAAGAAAAGACAGATTTACAGTGGGCCAAGTGCTTTCGTTGGCTGCCTGGCCCTCATGCTGGTGAGGGCCGAGTCTGAGTGCCAGCAGGGCCTGATGGCTATACTTTCAGGGTCTTAATTAGCACATAAAATCAGAAATGTCTGAACATGCAGTCCTAAGCATTTCCAGACTACAGAGCACCAGAACTGCAGTGTGCTCAGCCAGGTGTCTTGTCCGCTGCTAATCCTTGAGGCATTTGTGCTATGAACACCAAAAAAGCTGTATGGGGCCGAGCTGGCTGCCTAGAAGAGCTGGGACTCAGGGCCAACCATGGGGCTGAAGAAGGAGCTGGGCAGATGGGACAACCAGTGTGCTGGCCCCTAGGGAAGCAGTGACCCTCACACGTCCTCATGGGGCACTTCCCTATTCACGAGGGCCTTCTTGCATGATGGATCTCACACGTCTACACTTGCAAGGGCTGAGGTTCCTCACAGCAACCTGTGGCTTTAGCCACTGGGCCACCACATGGATGAGCCCAGAGGAGATCCAGCAGTGACCCAGAGGCTTTCACTTATCTCTGGATGAGGGCTTTCTTGCAAGGATTGCAGCAGCACTGTGTTGGTTCAACACCATTTCCTGGTGACGTTTTGTGGTTGGCAGGAGCCCTGGATCACAAGGTCTGACTTCATTAATACTGGTGTCAGAGCGGGCTGGAGGCTCATCAGAACTTCTGGTAGAACATTGCTCTGTGCCAGCTGCTGAGCATACCAATGCACAGGGTGTTTGGTGGGTCAGCCCTTCCCTGTGCTGATGGGGTATGTGAGCTCATCAAGGAACCTATCTGATGTAATCCCTGGGGCTCCGGGAAAGCACATCATCTGCATTCAGATCCTGTTCATGCTGGAGCCCAGGGCTGCTGGTTCCATGTGGATGGCAGAACTCTGGCTGTCCCGGTCCCAGACTGGTCAGGCTGTGGCTCACAAAGTGAAAGGCAGGATGGTGAACCTGCCTGGGAAAGCTCTGGGTGGAGGCCTGGGCTTTTGGTATGAGAATAGCAAGTTTCCAGCCCCAGTAGTGCCATACAGATGAGCTCTGTTAGAGCTGGAAAGGACCATGTGGCTTGTGAACCAGCTCTCTGCAGTCACAGGCAGGCATTTAATAGATGCTCTGGGAGCCTTCTCGATTTGGCATCTGTTTTGTGTGTCACCTTGGTCCGCTGAACGTTTCCTAATACTGTATAATTACTGTAACCTTACAAGGAAAGACCCAAATCAACAATTAGTGTGCTGGAGAGAAGGGCAGCATCATCAGGGCTACTGATTGCAGGGTCTCGGGTGAGTGTGGCAAGGAAGCCATGCCCTGTGCTGCAGGAAACATCATCCCTTGATATGACCTTAGGGAAAATACTACCACATCCCCTAACTGGAGGCTGTCTAAACCACAAGTGTGTGATGGGAACACCCCAGCCAGGCTCCTGCAGATGCGAAGGATGGTCCAGTCCCTTGGTCTGCTTGGTCTGGTCTCTCAGGGCAAGCAGCTCAGCCTAGCCCTTACCACTGGGAGTACATGTGCTGCCCCATCTCGTGCACCATGCTAGGGCTGGAGGTATTATTGGGCCCTGCCCCATTCCTCTGCCCATCAACTTTTCCCTAATGCCCAGCTGAAGTTGTAATATGGAGCTACCCAAGAGAGATTGAGAGATAATCTGCATAGTAATATCAGTGAATTAGTCAACTCTTGACGAGTATTTGAGCAGGATATAGGCCACGAGTGGATTTGAATTAAATATGTAATACAATGAATATATTTCAAATAAATGTTAGGCGTGGGGCTCCAAGCACTGTTCTGCTGGATTTCTTCCTTGTGCACCTCCTCTCTCCTTTCAGGAAAACGCACTGGCATTCTTCCCCATGTGCCCCCTGTGTCTCCCTACAGCTGGGGGAGAGCTGAGTGGAGCCAAGGAGACCTTCATGCTGTGCTTCTCATCTTCAGAGTATCTAGAAGAGCCATAGCTTGGGATGGGGTCTAAATCCCCGAGTTTCTGTGTTGGGATTCATCTACAGCATTGTGCTGTCTCCCTCAGGTCTGCCTTCCTTCTGTCTTTAAGCTCTCGGGGAAGAAATGATTGTCTTGTTTACGCCAGGGAGAGAGAGGTGTTTCAGGTTGGGTATTAGGAAAAATTTCTGCTTTGAAAGAGTGGTAATGCATTGGATTGGGCTGCCCAGGGAGGTGGTGAAGTCACCGTCCCTGGAGGTGTTACAGAACCATGGAGATGTGGCACTGAGGGATGTGGGTGAGTGGTGGAGACGGGTTGGGATTGGACCATGGTGATCTTAGAGGTCTTTTCTGATCTGAATGATTCTATGATTTTAAGTGGTTGCTGGTGGGAAACAGGGAGTTAAGAACAGATGAGGAAGAAATTGGGGCCCAGGTGGTCCCTTTGAGCAGGTGCTGGGTGTTACTGTGTGTCCCCTGGGTCACAGTCCCACCGGTGTGTCCCAGTGTGATCCATCAGTCACGCTTTAGTCTTGGCCAAGATGTTCCCTTGGGTGTTCTTGGGTCTCCCTAGAGCCTAACTGATATCATTTTCAGTTATGAGTGAATTTTTCACACTTCTGATTAACATCAGTCACACGTATGCATGCAGTGCTGGTTTGGGGGAAGGAGGTTTGAGCGGGGGACTTGTGTCACTTATTTGAAGGACACCTCCTGAGGCTGGGACTTTCTGTTCCCATTTGTAGGGGAATTTTTAACCTCTGCATTTCTGGTTTTGATTCCTCCTTAGCATGTGGTGCTTATTGAGCAAGAGGAATTGTCTCCAGCTGTAGGAGCATTCAGGCTGATATTAGAGTGTCTGCCTGCACCAAGAACTGGAGTGGTTGCTCTTCTTACCAGCCCCAAAGATCCACCCGAGTGTGCTGGGCAATAAATAAAGCCCACGTGCACTCCAGTCCTCCTCCTGGTCCCCAGCAGAGGCCATACATGTAAGCCAGGCTTTGTGTTTCTGTCCCCAGCAGCCAAGGTTAACTTTCTCCTTGTGTATTTCTCACCACCTTGTGTCCTGAGTTGGGCATTCAGAGCTGGTGGGGAGTGTTTTCTCCTCTTTCCAGGATCAGCAGACCAGTGCTGCAGATTAACGTGCATAAGGTAGAAGAAGAACTGGGAGGAACTGTCTGATATCCTGAAATTATTTTCTTTTTCATTTGTGTGCTGAGATGCAAGGTGTGTTGGTTTTGCCGATCTGAAGGAGCTCTGCTCTCAGCTCCCAGCTGGAGAAAACAGTTTCTTGCATGGATCCATACAGCTCTGCAGGCTGGGGATCTATCCAAGTAGCTGTGCTGGAGAATGCTGATTAAAAATTGCAAAGGCCATGGGAAATCTGGTGTCCTTGGCACCTGTGGCCAAGGCTGAGTCTGTCTGAAGGCAGGGAGAGGCAGCAGTGTCTGGGGGAGAGCACAGGGAGGAAAAGCTAGGGAAAGGCACCGTGCCCGCCCTGTTTTTGCAGAACCCATAGGATACAGCTGGATAAGCAATAGGGCTGCAGAAGGATGCGGGGAGTGGGAAAACAGAGGAAAAGGAGAAGGGGCTCTGGCTCTGTCATGTGCTGAAGGGCGAATGCTGGCAGCAGCAGTGCTGCAGCTCTTTGTTCTGGGTGCGGGGCAGAATGCCCACGTGGCGCAGGAAGCACAGCTTGCCAACCCTGGCAGGAGGAGGTGAGCTGCTTGGGGAGCCCCGACCCTGACCTGCCACCCAAAAGTGTGCCCAGGGCCATGGTTCTGCCATCAGGCAGCCCAGGCCGGCTTGCTGGCTGTGCTCAGAGGCTCTGCAGCCTGGCTGGGGCTGACTCACGGCACAGCGCTTGCAGCCAAGTCAGGTCAGCCTGGCCCAGTGGGGAAGAGACGCTCTCTGGGGACGACAATGCCGTCAAATCTTCCAGCTTTGCAGGCAAACAGCCTTGCCCTCTGTCTGCCGGCGTGACCTCCTCTCCCAGGCATGTTTTCTCCTCCTTCCTTCTCACCACTTCTATCTTCAGTGCTGCCTCTGGAGACCGCCAGCCAGGTATAGAGCAGGCAGCCAAACCAGCAGGGAGATGGGAACATGGAAAGAGCCACAGGCAGGCTGGGGCAGGCGAACCTCTCATTGCCAAGCTGAGAGCTCTGTGGAGAGTATTTCTGGTGACTGAGGGCAGGAGCAGCTCAGCTGAGCTTTTGCAGCGAGCGTGACTCAAGCAGGGGGTGAAGCAGCTCAGTTTGATGCCAGGAGTGTTCCTTTCCCTGGTCCCAGGCTTGAGGTTGCTGGGCAGATGGACGGGGCTCCTGCAGTCGCTGGCTGTTTCCCTGCCAGCCTGATCTGCCTCTCACTGGCTGGGGCAGGCAGCAGCCAAGGACTCCTGTGACCTAGGGAGAAGGGACTGAAACAGGATTTGGGATTTGCTCTGATTCGTGTTGTGATGGTGGGGGTCTGGTCACCCCAGTGCAAAGTGCTGGTCCCTGTGCCAGAATGCTTGTGGGGATCTTGTGCCAGCAGCCAGAGCTATGTGGCTCTTCAGTTGCTGGCTCTGCAGTGCCCTTAGTTTGCTGTGCCAAGAGGCACCAGGATACACTTGTAAATGCTCCTCCCAGCTATGGCAGAGCTCTGATAAAGTCCCAGGGCTCTCCTCCTGGTGTCTTTTCATCTTGGGCTTTATGTAGGGTGTGAAAACAACTTCTGTTGTCTTCTTCCCCATCCATGCAGTGGTGGAGTTTATGGGCTGGAGCAGGGCTTGGGGGATGCTGCTTGGTGCTGCTTTCAAACTAAAAGGCCACATGGTGGTGCCCCCAAAGCGCCTTTTCCTTTGTGAGTTTGGACTATGGGGTCAAGACTACAGATTCTCGACTGCAGGTTCAGCAAGCTGTGCCCCATGAATGGCCATTTCCTGACATCCTGCGTGGCACAGACACCACTGCCACTGACTTGTTCCCTTTGCTGTTCCTTTCCCAGTCTTCAGTCTGCTCCAAGATCGTCCAGCTGCTGGGCCAGAACGAAGTGGACTATCGCCAGAAGCAGGTGGTGATCGTGAGCCAAGACAGCTTCTACCGAGTCCTCACCTCAGAGCAGAAATCCAAAGCGCTCAAAGGCCAGTTCAATTTTGACCACCCAGGTGAATGGAGAACAGCACAGGGGTGGGATGAGGGCTGGATCACATCCCTCCAGCAAAGAACTTTGCATGGACATCAGGAGGTCTCTATCTCTGTATGGGGTGGGAGTGAGTGGCTTAGCTTGTCCCTTGTTGGGCTGGGAGCTTTGTGGCTCCATTGGGGCCATTTGCATCTCCTGCAAGACAACCTCTGTCTCTCCAGGAAAAGCAACTGCCTCTGGCAGTGCTTGGGATGAGAAAGGAAAGGTGGTGAATTCTCACATTCCTTAAGATGAATTCTCATACTCTTCTCCCTGCAAAAATATCCCCCAGTTTGAAACCCCACCCCCTGGGCAGGACTAGTGAGATCTGCCTGGAACAGCCCTTGGAGCCAGCAGCTCTGTGCTCTCCTTCAAGGAAGGAACCATCTTGCACAGCTGGCCTGCAAACCCCTGCTGCTACAACAGGGGCTCTATGAACCATCCCAGAGCTTGGTAGGGAAATTCCAGAGCTGCTGTCCCCTCATCCCCACGAGGACAATGGCTGCAGGCAGTGAGCACGAAGCAAACAGAGCCCTGTCTGTGCAGCAGCTAAAGGTTGGAACACTGCTCCAGTCTCTGCGAGGGCTGGAGCCCTGGAGGAGATGCCTTCCCAAGCTCTCAGTGCTGCCGTACAAGGCTGGCATTGATTTCTGCAGACCAGATCCCAGGCTGGTGCAAAGATCTGGGCTTTGCAGCACCCATGGGGATGAGCCAGGCTTTCCTCTTTCCTCTGGAGCCTGTGCATCTGTCTGCCTGTCCATGGGGTGCAGGTGGCTCTGGTTAGGCTAAGCACAGCATTACATGTGAAGCTGCTTCGGGTAACGTTTTCTCTTCTCCTCAGATGCCTTTGACAACGAGCTGATCGTGAAAACGCTCAAAGAGATCACAGAAGGGAAGACTGTCCAGATCCCCGTCTATGACTTTGTCTCCCACTCCAGGTCTAACAGCCACTCCTGCCTTGCCAAGCCTCTGCTGACAGCAGCATGCAGCCCTGCCATCCCAGCCTCCTGCCCCTCTGCTTGTGCCTGCTCTTAGGCCCCTATATCTACCCAGAACATCAATGCTGACATCTCCACGCTCTGTGTTAGAGGATCCGGGGCTTGTACAGGCACAGTCTAAGGGCTTGGAAATCTGCATGACCACACAGATACAACCAGAAACACACAGGCATAAGTGGAGAAGGGCTATGCCCCCCCATCCACTCTTCCTCTCCTCATAAAGTCTCTGTTTGCATCTTTAATAAGTATTCCAGGCCCAAACAGTCCAACACTGTCAGGAAAAGAGTTCTTGAAGCTCTTGCTCCTGTAACTCCTCCCTTGCATGTGTTAGCTTGCATGCCTGCACTGATCGCGGATGGTGTGATCCTGCTCCTTTTCCTACAAAAGCACCATGACTTCAGAGGAGTGCTGCTTGCTCCCTGGGGAGCAGGACTGTCCCTACAGGTTCCCTATGCTCAGACTTTTTGGGTTTTATCACTTGGGATCTAACACTTGCAAGCAGCATTTGGCCAAGGCAAGGGGGTGAGGGGCTAGTATGCTTCCTGCTCTGCTGTCTCTCCTTGTAGGAAGAGTATTGCATGCCTTGAGTTCCCTTCATCACAGTGGGGTAGGTCTCCCATCAGTCCAGCCCCCTGGTGCAGCAGTGATGTCCCATGGCTGCAGCCGTGCTCAGGAGCACCACTGTTTCCCTCATTTTGCTTGGCTTGTTTCCTCCCTACTGGAATATTTTGACTCTTCTCCTTCCCTCTGCTAGGAAAGAGGAAACAGTGACTGTCTACCCTGCCGACGTGGTGCTCTTTGAGGGCATCCTGGCCTTCTACAGCCAGGAGGTGCGGGATCTCTTCCGCATGAAGCTCTTTGTGGATACAGACGCAGACACCCGGCTGTCCCGCAGAGGTGAGGACCAAACATGTGCAGCAGGGACAGAAACGTCACCTGAATGATGGGCAGCTAGCTGCAGAGGCAGTTAACCAGGAGCAGAGCAGTACTGGAGTCAGCACAAAGCTTTGCTGCTGCTAGCAAAGAGCCAGGGGAGCACACTGCACCAGGCAGCTCCCAGCAGTGGGGAGCACTCTTGTTTTGTGCTTCTTAGGATTCAATGGGTCTCTTGCTGCGTTGTTTGGGATCTTCCCAAACAGCAGTGTTTTCTGTCCCCGTGTGGAAAGGGTGCAACAGACAAAGCAGAGCAGTTCAACAGCTTGATGGAAAGTCAGCACCTGATGGTTATGCTCAGGTCTGGGGTTTGGTGTAAGGGTATCCATCCCAGGTCATGCAGATAAGGAGCATGGTTGTACATCTTGTTCTGCTTGCTGTGTGTTGCCAGCTTACGTAGGAGGCACTCCAGTTCTTCCAGGTGTGCAAAGCTTGAGATGCAGTCAAAGCTGCCTTTAGGTCTGGCATCACTGATGTGGCCCCTGAGCCTCTGGGAGGACGAAGAAACCATCCTGGCATTCCTGGGGCAAAATTCTGTTTGGTCTGCACTGTCCCTCCCCATACCTGGGCTCTGACAGCTTTCACAGAGTGTTCGGGATACAGATTTATAGAATTAGCATTCAGGCCTCTGCACTGTGGCAAGAGAAGTGTGCCTTAATACCCAGGACTGCATGTGTACATGGGACCATCCAACCCTGATACAGAACTAGTCTTGTCTGCTGAAAGCCCTGCATCCCTCCTGCCAGATATGCAACCTCCTCCGCTGCTGAGATGTCATCAGTGCTGATTAAAAGGCTGCTTCTTACGCAGCCTTCTTGACCCTGCCCACCGTTCTTGCATGACTCATCCAGGGAGGTGACAGCGCAGTCATTGCAGGGAGACGTATTAGCGGGTCACAGATACGCATCTGTAAGATCCTGCAATGTGATCCTGATCCTGTAAGTAGACTGTGCTGTGCGGGCACTCAACAGCCAAGGGGTAGCCTGTTTGTTTAGTGGTGCTCTGTATCAGCTGTGTGAAGGCAAGGTGTTGTCTTGTGCATTTGCAGTGCCCCACGACCACGTGTGCATCCTAATTGCATGTGTAGAGCGCGTACTTCAGTTGCTTTGGTTTGGCACGTAACCATGAGCTCAGGGCTTAAGAACTACTTGAGTTCATTGACCAGGAACCCAGACAGTCCAGATGCCAACCATGATACAGAGCTTGAGCTGCAGCTGCTGGATGAGGTTCTAAGCCTCATCAGCCACAGCCATTCTTGGGGATTGCTCCCATCAGTCACTAAAGCCTTGCAAAGGGGTAGCTGGACTGCTGCTGGCTGGCTAAGGTGGTTGCCTCTCCTTCTCTGGGCAGCTCATCCAACTCCTGATAGAGGACTGATCATCATCAGTTGCTACCTCAGGTTGGATGTTAGGAAAAACTTCTCTGAAAGAGTGGTTGGGCATTGGCACGGCTGCCCAGGGAGGTGGTGGGATCACCATCCCTGGAGGTGTTACAGAACCGTGGAGATGTGGCACTGAGGAACGTGGTTTAGTGGGCAATACTGGAGGTAGGTGGACCAGATGGTCTTTTCCAACCTTAATGACTCTATGATTTTATTATAGGAACACTGCAGCAGTGAGTCTGTTTGTTGCATGTCTCCCTGGCATTGCTGGGAATGGAAAATCAATGTGTGAGATACTGAAGGTATAATCATGTCCCTGGAATGTTGCTGGAGGCAGCTTGTAGCAAGAGAGAGTCAGGATCTTGCATTGCGACATGACCATGAGTTGTCTCACTCTCACAGAAGTTTTGAGGAGTTGCAGCAATGGGCTTTTGAGCTGGGTGGCAGCAGGGGATGGAGTTCCCAGAAACACAGCTGACAGCTCAGTTAATTGGTAGTGCTGGGTTTCAGTACGTGTGGCTCATGCTGCCACTGGCAGCTGGCACTGGACAGGCACCAGTGTGTCCTTGGGACATTGGCCTGCTCTGCAAGTGACACCTCCCACTGCTGGAACCCATTGTTTTAGGGCCAAGTACGAGTCAGAGGGTGCTTGATTTGTTGTTTGGGGGGCATCAGCCTGCAGTGGTGTGCCTTTGGGTGGGCAGGAGAGCTCTGTCCTGCCAGGAGCAGCCCTGCAGCCCTGGTGTCTTTGCACTTCACAGGCTTCCCCTGCTGTCCCAGCTGTGTGTGCAGGCTCTCTGCCCCACATCAGCCAGCAAACAGGGCGTGGGACCAACGAACAAAAGTCTCTCTGTCTCTGCCTTTTTTTTTTTTAATGTCCCTTGCCTGTTCTTCTGTATTGTTTGTGTTGGGGCTTGCTCCCTCTCTCTGCAGAGGGCACGGAGTTGGCTGGAACAGCCTGGGCAGAGCCCTTCCTGGAGCTGGCACACATTGCCAGGCCTTCACCTCCCCATGCAAGGCTGCCAAAAGGCAGCTGGCCGTGGGCAAACTGAGCTGCTGGGAGGGTGCCAAGGCAGTGTCCGGGCAGCAGAGCTGTCCTGGCCCCACCAGCATGTGGGCACTGGGTCGGGCGGGCAAGGCGCAGCAGCTTGGCTCCACTTGGCACACGGACCAGGCTGGCTCTGAACCCAGCGCCAGGTGCTGCCTGCTGGGGAGCAGCCAGCAGCCCCCAGGGGAGAGCCAAGGCCCGTCTGCTCAGCCCCACGGCTGCTCTGGCCCTCACTGGTGGATGGAATTCCTGCTGCACAGGGGCACGTGCCCGTGCTGGAGTGACATCAGGCCAGAGCTGGCAGCAGCCCATGGGGACTGCTTGAACATGTGGGAAATAACTTCTTCCAGGAGTGCAGACCTCAGGGATAACAGCTGGGTGGCTGAATGGGGCTGTCCCGAGGGCAAGGGGACAGTGCAGTGCATGGCTTGGCTGCTGACTGTGCCTTACACCTTTCTTCCAGTGCTACGAGACATCAGTGAGCGAGGCAGGGACCTCGAGCAGATCTTGTCACAGTACATCACTTTTGTGAAGCCCGCCTTCGAGGAGTTCTGTTTGCCAGTAAGTATGGGGAATGATACTCACAAATGCCAAAAGTGCCTCTTTCCCTGGCCAGCTCATCAGACAGGAGCATTTTGTATCCCAGAGCTCTCTCCCTCAGGCACTGATAAAAACAAGGGTGCTGGTGCTAGCTGGGTCAGGGCGAGATGAGGACTGTTTGTGCAGCCACTGCCTTCCCAGTGAGATCACTGTCCCTATGGGGAGGCAGACACAGCAAGAGAAACCCCTCCCTGCACAGGGTCAGCCAAACCAACACCAGGCAGCTCAGCAGATGCCAGCTGAGGAGGGATGATTCTTGGTTGCATCTGGACAGGGAATAGGAGATCCCTGTCCCCGGGCAGTGACCACCGTGCCTGCCCTTTTTACCTTGCATGTGCTTGGGAGAGCAGGGAGCATCTTCCTATGCTCTGTGCTGCAGGATGTGGCCTTGAAGGTTGTTGCATTTCCCAGCTTGTGAGAGGCCAAGCTGTAGTGCAGGCAGACCTTGCTGTTGCCCAGGGTTTCAGGGTCTGCCTGAGACAAAGAAGTGACTTTGGGAGCCAGGCTCTCCAGCAGATGGGGACTTTGCATGCAGGAAACCCTGCAGTCCAAGAGAACTTGCAGGTGAAACAGCATGTTTGCAGGACTAGATGTTGTAAATCCCTTGTGGCACTGCTTCATGGAGATAAGCCTGTGCCTTCATTCCAGAGGCTTTATAAGAGTGATAGTTATACAAGGCATTTCTCCTTATTCTGGAGGAACAAAGCCAGCAGAAACCTGCAACGTGGGGGCTGAAAGCTAGCAGCATGGCCAGGAGTTCATGCTATGCCTCCAACCTCACTCAGCCCTTGTTCACAGAGGGCTGTCATATTGCCTGTCCATATGGCCAGCTCTGTCCTTTCCATGGCAGGCACTGATTTGTTCTGTGCTACAAGGTCTGCTCCTGAGGTACCCCAGAAGGGGCCTGGGCTGCTGGGCAGCACCCTTGCAGATGTGGGTCAGGGGACCAAGGTAAAGTGATGGTGTCAGTTCTAGAAAGGCTTTTCTTGGGAGGCCGGTCCTGCTTGCTGCCTCCCTGCAAATCTCCAGTGAGATAAATCCATCTGTTTGCAAAGCAGCAAATGCTGCATCGAGACTGTTCTATTGAGGAGTGTAGGAGGGTGAAATGTGAAACAAGGAGAGTAGAAAACAACTGCTTTGTGCCCACCCACCAGCCCTGTACTGGTCTGCTTCCACCTCCAACCCAGTGATGGACCCAGCCGCAGAGCAATTGCATGTGGATGTGCAGCAGGCTCAGTACCCACTGCTGCTATTAATCAACCTCTAACAGTTCCAGGTGAGGTGGCCCTGCACTGACACAGCCCAGTATGTCCTCGGGATGTTCCATAGGGCTGAAAGTGCTGCCAGGTATCAGAAGATCCCCTTGTCCCAGCAAGCTGGCTGGCTGCTGATTGTAGAGGGTGGCTGTAAGGAAGCTGATCAGCTGTAAAACTGGCACAAATAGGGGGAGGAAGCTGAGACCAGCACCTTCAGAACTGGTACCTTCAGAACCAGTCCAGGATTGGAGTCTTGAATCAGATTTTTTCGCAAGCAGTGCTGGTAGAAAATTTCTCCTGCATCCCAATTAGACCACATGGCTGCATCCTGCATGTCCAAGCAGGCTGGGCATGCCAGCTCTTGCTCTTCTACCTTGTCTGGCTGGATTTTGGGGTAGGTTGTTCCCCAGAGCATCAGCTGCTGCAGTCCTGTGATCATGAAACTTTTTAATGTCAGGTTCTGGTAGGGTGCTTCTTACTGATGTTTGTTAAGCTCAGGAAAATAAAGCCAGTGTGCAAAGCGTGGCCCTCAAAACACAATGCAGAAGGCAAACAAGATCTTCCAAAATGTATGATCAGTAACTGCCTGCCTCCCAGCGGGTTTGGGCCATATAATCCCTGGAGGTTTGGGCTTGGCAGCAGGAGGGGCAGGAAGCAGGGGCAGTGCCCCAGCCTGGCAGCTCTTTGCTTTCCCAGTAACACAGTGCTCTTTTTTTCCTCCAGACCAAGAAGTATGCTGACGTGATCATTCCCAGAGGAGCAGATAATGAAGGTGAGCAGGCCCAGACCCTACTGTTCTGCCCTGGCAGCTTGTACTAGGGAGGAGGTAGCAGGGGCTGCTGTAGAGGTACACTGAGATGAGCCTTTCCCCTTTGCTCCCCATGGCACGTTAGTACCTGAGAGTTTGTGTTGCTCTGAGCAAACCTGGGAGCCTGTGTGCATGGTGCCTCTAGACAAACAATTCCCAGCTCATATCATACAAAGGGAAAGGTGCTTCTCTGAGGCCAGGTATGCAGCTGGGTGGTCACACCTCCACCTGACTGGGGTCTATCTGAGCATGCTGGCAGAGCGCAAGGCCCTGCATGGGGGGAGGGAATGAAGTGATAGCAGGCAGCTCCTCCCTGCAAGCTTGCAGCTCCCAGCCAAGGGATGGGAGGGCATGGGGGTGGGGGTCATCATCACCGACTTGGCTGTAGTTTGCCACGATCCTAATGCAATCTCTCCCCAATGTTTTTCCCCTCCCTTTCTGCTCGCAGTGGCCATCAACCTGATCGTGCAGCACATCCAGGACATTCTTAATGGAGGACTCAGCAAACGCCAGAGCAATGGCTACCTGAATGGCTACACTCCCCCCCGCCAGCGGCAGCCCTCAGAGTCCAGCAGCCGGCCTCACTGACCCCGGGCGGCAGGCGTGAGGCTGTGGGCAGAGGGCACTCAGGCCCTGCCACTGCCCCCCTGTACATACTGTCCGTTCATTCCCCCCTTATCTATTTAAGAAACCAGACGGAGACGAATGCCTTTAATTTTGTATGTTGGAAATGCCGAATGAGAAGCAGCCAGCTGCTCGGGAGCCTGGACCGCCCACAGCTCCTGGTCTTGCTCAGTAACTCCTCCAGCACGGAACCGGCTATAAATCTCTATAAATATAGAATTGCTCTATTTTTGTGTAAATGCAGAATAACGTAAAATTACTTGCCGTAAGGTATTTGCCAGGCTCGGTGTTGCTGGGAGGGAGCCGGGAATAGGGGCCTAGAGTTGGCATCCTCACCTGATAGACAAGAGGAGGAGCATCCAACAACTGTTTTAGTATCCCTGTGGTCTCCATCTAAGGGAAGGGGCAGGCTGTAGTGGAGGTTCTAACTTAAGTGCAGCAAGGCTGGGGTTGCCTCCTCCTGCTTGTTGCTGCTCAGGTTCAGGCAGCCTGATGTTGGCTGGCAGGCACTGCACAGTGCCACTGACAGATGGCAGAATGGTGTGTAATAACTCCCCTGACTGTCTTTCATGTCTCTGGATCTCAGTCCTTCAACAGCATCCCTCCTTTTTTGTTGTCTGGCACGCCTTCTCACCACGGTTGTGGTGTCTGTTGTCACACCCTCCATTAAGGACCTGGCAGGAGATGCTGGGTATCTGGTCATAAATGTAGCAGCTCGTGTTTTTAGCAGTCTTGCTGCCTGGCTTGGATAGATATAGGATGTGTGTCCCTTCAGCCCCTCTGGAGCTTGATGGCCATGTGTGTGGTGGGACTCCTAACCAAGCCCCAAGCTCATCCCTACACCTGGAGGTCAGACTGCAGAAGGTCAGATGTGCATCTGTCATTCCCCACTTGAAATGGTTTTGCTGTTGAGTAGGAACAGTTGAGTCTGTAAATATGGTTAATGGAGAACCAGCTGTAAAAGAAAGTGGCAGTGGATGGCAGCTGCTGAGCAGCCTGAGGGAGTGCCAGCAGCATGTCTGAGCTCCCTAATATCTGCCTCCGTGCATCATGTCCGCAGGTCCCAGCTGGATGGCCAGATGTCCCTATAGCTTATGTCTCCTTCTTTGTGTGCTGGTGGAGGATGTGGTGTCCCCACTACATGTCATCCGTGGGGATGCCCAGGAAGTACACTCATTTGCTGAGGGTGAGAATCAGTTTCCTTTAAGTTGGTAGTGCTGCAATAGCAGCAGCGTGGGAGAGCCTGATGGGGCTGTACTGTCCAGCTGGGGTTGCCTGGAGAGCAAGGTGAAGCACATGAGCTGGGGCAGAGACTTGGTGAGAGCCAGGCAAGGAGATGTGATGGGATGCTAGCCAGGAAGGACCCTCTGGCCTGTGCTCCTGGGACCAACTTGTCCCAGCAAATAACAAATCTTACAATCATCCCACAAAGCCTGGAGCTGGGACCTTTAGCCTTGCTACCTCTCATGGTTTTCACTCCTTCCAGAGCACTGTTTTTGCTCTGCACAGTTAAAAGCTCAAGACGTTAGAGTGATGGAGCATCTGGTTTCTCTAGTGTGAGCTAAGATGGTTTTTGATTTTAACCAAGAGAACAAGAAAAAAAAAAAAAAGTGCCTATCCCAATGAGCACTGCTGGAGCAGTCTTATTCCCTCTTGGTTTGTGATGAGGGACTGTGACATCAGCCCTTCATCCCTGTCACTGTCTGCAGACACTTCCCAAGGCATGACAGCTCTGCCATAATCAAGGGCTGACCTTGGCTGAACTCCTCCAGCTACAGCATGTCAGCCATATGTGAGAGGGACTGAAGCCCCGCATATCTGGAGAGGCTTCTCAGGACTTAAGTGGCCAATATAGCCGTTAGGTTAAATGCTGATCTCCCCTTCCCTGTGAATAAAGACAACAAATGTATACTGGTGCTTCTCATCTCCGGTATATGGTGCTGTGTGCTGCTGGCTGTAGTCCTAGTTTTGGAGCAGATTTGGGCATCGTTTTAGTTCTGCAAGGCAAAGCCAGAGGTGAAACAGCACTTCTGGTGCACAGACTGCTTTGGTAGGGGCTTGATGAGCAGGGAAGTGGAGTGAAAATTTTCTGAAAGGCCAGGGTGGTGATCAGTGGTATGAAATCTGTTTGAATGTCAGTAACTAGCAGTATACCCCAGGGAGTCAAACTGGTTCCAGTCCTGTTCAACATCTTCATTACACACCGGGATGATGGAGCAGAGTATATCCACAGCAAGTCAGTGGATAACAGAAAACTGGGAGGAGTGGCTGATAAATGAGAGGGTTGTGCTGCCATCCAGAGGAACCTTGAGAAGGGAGCTGGCAGGAACCTCGTGGAGTTCAGCAAGGAGAACTGCAAAGCCCTGCACGTGGCAGGAACAACCCAGGAGTCACCCAGCCTGGCAAAAAAAAGGCCTTTGGGGTTTTGGTGGACCCTAAGTTGGCCATGAGTCAACAATGTACTCTTGCCACAAAGAAGACTGATGTTTTCCCAGGCTGCATCAGGCACAAACAACAGATCAAGGGAGGTGATCCTTCCCAGAACTGGTGAAACCACTCCTGGAGTGCTGTGTCCACTTGTGGGTTCACCAGTACGAGAGAGACATGGAGCTACTGGTGAGAGTCCAGCAAAGGGCCTGCGGATAGGAAATGGGATGTACACAGATCTATGTTTACTGGGGGCTGGATCTGATGCTGATGGACTGTCTGATGCTGTGGGGAGTCTGTGGTTCCCCTGAGCAGCTGCCACTTCTCTATGGGAGCATATTGATTTCCTGTGGCAGGTGTCTATGTGAGGTACTGATGCTTAGTGGACATCCTGCAAGTCCTGTATCTGGGGACTCTTTTCAGCATTATATATTACAGCACTTCAGAATGCTTCCACAAGAAATTGCTGTGGCTTTTTAGAGAATCACAGAGTCAATAAGGTTGAAAAAGACCTCCAGGGTCATCGGGGCCAACCCCAACCCATCCCCAACACTAAACACATCCCTCAGTGTCACATCTCCACGGTTCTTCAGTGCTTCCAGGGATGGTGACTCCACTACCTTCCCGGGCAGCTGGAAAGAGCAATAACGTTTCCCTGAAGTTCTTCTTCTCCAAACTTACACATTCCTGTTCCTTCAGCTGTTCCTCACCACTCTTGACCAGCTACCAGCTGGATTTAATTCCATTCACTGCCACTCTCTGGGTCCCAACATCTAGGCAGTTCTTTACCCAGCAAAGAGTGTACCTGTCCAAGCCATGGGCTGCCAGCTTCTCTATGTGGGAGACAGTGTCAAAGGCTTTGCTAAAGTCCACATAGATTGCATCAATCTTTTCCTCATCCACCAGGCTGGTCACCTGGTCATAGAAGAAGGTGAGGTTGGTCAAGGAACCTTTCATGAAGCTGTGCTGGCTGGGCCTGATCTCCTGGTTGTCTCGCACACGCTGTGTGATCACACTCAAGGTGACCTGCTCCTTAACTTTCCTCAATACCAAGGTCAGGCTGACAGACTTGTAGTTCCCCAGATCCATCTTTGAGCCCTTCTTGTAGATAGCCATTGCACTGACAAGTCTCCAGTTGTCTGGGACCTCCTCGGTTGACCAGGACGACTGATAAATGATGGAAAGCGGCTTGGCAATCACCTCCACCAGCCCCCTCAGTGCCCTCAGGTGGATGCCATCTGCATCAAGGACTTGTGATAGTCCAGGTTGAGTAGTAGGTTTCCAGCTGTTTCCTACTGAATTATGGAGCGTTTATTCTCCCCATCCCAGACTTCTAGACCAAGGAGTAGAGTATGCTGAGAATAACTGGCCTGACTATTAGAGACAGAAGAAAAAAAGGCATTGAGTACCTCAGCCTTTTCCTCATCCTTGGTGGTGATGATCCCCACCATGTCTAATAAAGAATGGAGACTCATCTTGGCTCTCCTTTTATGGTTAGTGTATTCACAAAAACATATTTTTTTTATCTCTTACAACAGCTGCCAGATAAGGTTCTAGCTGGGCTTTTGTGGTTCTAATTTCCTCTCTGCATATCTTAGCAACATCTTTGTACTCTTCCTAAGTTGCTTGTCCCATCTCCCACAGGAGGTAAACTCTCTTTTCTTTCCCCAAGTCACCTGGCTGCTCTGATGCTGTGAAAATGGGGCCAGCAGTCTGGAATTAGAGGGCAGTGAAGTCCTTTACTTGGGAAGGGGGCACTGACAAAGTTATTGGAAAATGGACACTCTATGGAGGCAACGCTTGTCAGAAATGAAGGAAAGGCATCCTTTTAAGACAGATGTTGTATGTCACCTGGTCAAGTGTACTACCATGGAGGGAGGTATCCAGTACTTGAGGGCATTAGCTGTGCTAGAGGTGATTCATAGTGACCTGCACCTACACCTCCATCAGGTGCTCAGAGCTCTGTCCAGTCTGACCTTGGGTGTCTCCAGAGATGGGGCATCCATCACTTCTCTAGGCAATCTGTGCCAGTGCCTCACCACCCCTATTAGAAAATCTTCCTCCTTATATCCAATCAAAATCTCCCCTCTTTTACTTTGAAACCATTTCCCCTTGTCCCATCACAGCAAATCCTGCTAACGAGTCTGTCCCATCTTTCTTACGGCCCCTGTAATACTGACAGGCCGCTCTCAGGCCTCCCTGGAGCCTTTTCCTCTCCATGCTGAACAGCCCCAGCTCTCAGCCTGCCCTCATAGCAGAGGCATTCTACCCTTTGGGTCATTTTTGTGGCCTTCCTTTGGATGCACTCCAACAGGTCCACATCTCTCCCGTACTGAGGATTCCACATCAGCAACTGGCAGCATAGAGGCAAACCCATCCGGGCTGCAGCACTGTGGAAAGATATGGCTGCCTGGGTTGTAAAAGCATGTCACGTATGTGGACATAACCACAAGTCATACTGCTGAAGGACATCAAAACAACCAGCAGGTGGATCAGGAAGCTAGGATTGAAGTGGCTCAGGTTTGTCTGCGCTGGCAACATAAAGGTGGAATATCTGTACCTTGAAGGGCACGCGGCACCTCATGCCTTCAAGGACGAGATACAACATATCCATGGACTTGGGATGGAGGGGTGGACTTGAGTGTGGATGTTATCACACAGGTTTTCCACGCATGTGGAATGTGCTGCCTTCAGGCAAGACAAGTGATTAAAGCCTCTTACATATGGAGGACGATGGCTGAAATGTAAATAAATACAGGGAGGCCTGGTGGGTGGATTATATCACACCGCGCCGAGGTCCATGTGCTTAAAATGGTGGAAGCAACCACTGGGTGGCTGGAAACACGTCCTGTGCCTCGTGCCACCAGCCTCGAAAAGCAAGTCTTGTGCTGACACGGCACCCCTGAAAGAACCGAGCCGGACAACGGGACTCAATTCCAAAACAACCCCATAAGACAGCTGTGCCAAAGAGCGCTGAGCTGAGCGCTGGCAAAACGGAACGACGCAACGGTGCCTGAAGGGGATTCGATGCAGGGTGAGAACAAGCCAACGCTCGGAACCGAACGATGCGATTTATTAAAACATTCCCCACCTCATCGCGACGGAGCACCGCTGTCACGCACGAGGGGGGCCGGCACGGCGGGGCGGAGCCGCGGCACGGCGCGGTTGTGGGCCGGGCCGGAAGGGGCTGTCGGCGGTTCGCGGGGCCGTCCGCTTCCTGCCGCGGAGGAGGGCCGGTGGCGGGCCGGGCTCGGAGCGAAGGTGCGTCCCGCGTCAGTGAGCGAGCGAGCGCCGTGCGGTGCCGGCCGTGCGGTGAGCCCCGCGCAGCTCGGCCTTGAGCCTTCCTTTGATTCTTATTGAAATCCGCAGGCCTGAGAATGGCTCGGCCGCGGCGGGCCGTGCTCCGCTGTGAGGAGGAGGAGAAGGAGGCGGCGGGTCGGAGCGCGGAGTGCCCGGGGTTCGGCTTGGCGGGGAGGGGGCTGGATCACGTAGGCAGGAGCAGCTGGAGCCATTTTGTAACTTTAGCCCAAAGTTCTGCCCTAAAGGTTGGGGATGCGGGGCTCCGGCTGAGCGTTTCGATCGTCTGAGGAAGGCTTTTGGTTTTTTTCGTTTTGTTTTCTTGGAGAGTTATTCGCTCTTGTTCTCTCATCGTTGCCTTTCCTATGCTTTCACCGCTCCCCGCCGGGTGTCTGAGTGCAGGAAGCCTGGGAACGTCACTTTGGACAAGTCATAGAATCCTTAGAGCTGGGAAGGACCCTTAAAGGCCATTCGTGCAACTCCCCTGCAATGAACAGGGGCACCATCAGGTTGCCCAGGCCCTGATCCAGCCTCACCTTGACAGCCTCCATGGATGGAGCATCAACCACACCACTAGGCAACCTGTGCCGGTGCCTCACCACCCTCCCTGCAAAAGACTTTTTCTTTAGGTCCAACCTAAATCTACCCTCTTTAAACTCGAAGTCAGTGCTGTGCTGTGCCTTGGTTGCCAGCCTGCCTTCAGTCCTTGCTGCACAGCGAGGCAGAGCCCCACTCCTGTCACTCAAGGCATTTTGTCCTTTGGTAGAACAATCCTAAGGGTTCCGATAGGCAGGCGAGCAGACAGACAGTTTCCTTTGATCCGTGTGTTCCATTTGCCTAACAAATCGTTATGCAGCTGTGGTGAAATGACTTTTAATGATGTTTATATTTCCGTCTGCTTTAGCCTCTGCAGTTGAGACATCGTTAATCCAGGCTGCAAATTTTATAGCTGGATTAGAGCTTGAAGGCATATTAGGATGTGGATTTGGTCAGCTCCGCTGTTGCAGAGTCAGACTGAAGAGAGGAAGGAAGGCTCTTGTTTCACAGCATCACTGTTTTTCTTCTTTTTCTTCCTTCGGATCGGGTCTTGAAGTGTAGGGTGAAGGTTTCTCTTCGTGGTGCATGGACGGAAAGCCAATGCGCAGGTAAGATGAATATCACTTGTGTCCTTTTAACCCCGTGTAAATAAATCCTGTGGTGAGTTGGTATCAAAAGTGCTTAGACCATAAAATGTCTTTTTCTTTTAAAAAAAGATCTGATAGGAGAGTGTAAGCACTTATCTTTAGTCCTTGCTTCTGTACGTTTAGTTCTCAGTATATACAGGGCCAGATGACTGGAAGTGGATGTGCTGTTGAGAGAAGAGTTTGGGAGACAACTTATTGTAATTCTACGTTCTCCTCTGCCCCTCCTCACTTTTACTGTATCTTAAAATCCAGTATTTAATTACTTCCGTGTTCTCATAGTGTGAAATCAACAGTCTGGGAATACAACTGAACTTGATTTCTGAGAGGCATTACTTTTCTCTTAACTAAAGGAGTTAGCTCCTCTGATGGGGTAAGGCCTTGGATGAAAAGGAGATTTCCTCTTCTAATTATGGATGCTAGCTGCCTCAGTTCTAATGAGCTGAAGGTGCAGCTGAAGTTTAATTCAGGGGAGTGCTTATTGTGGCTATATCAGAAATGTTCTGTTATAGATAGGAAAAGAATTGTCCCAGTAAATTAGCATGATGACATGTAGGCAAACAGGATTGCTTTGGTTGCTGTTTGCTATTAAATGTGCCACGGCAAACCTTAACAGCAGCTGTATTTCTGCATACAAGCTGTGTGGAAGCAGAGTTGCCTGAAGGTTTTTTCCCCCTCCAAATGAAGTAGAGAGAACTCATGCAAATAGCCTAGTTTGTCTGTACTCTAGGGTGTTAAAAGTTGGGAAACTTTGCTAGGAGCAATTCTGTAAGCATCAGCATGATGCTTCAGTTAAGCTAATGAGTAAACCTTGGTCCATGATATGGACATCTCTGGGGCCATGTTATGTTAATTAGTTTTTTTTGCCAAGATGAGCAGTGTGGTTTTGGGGCAGAAATGAGTTAACCTGTGGCTTTTACAGCAAGTTCCTTTTTTCTGAGTGACATGTGAAGGAGCAGACAGCTCTCTTCCATCTCAGAGGCAGAGAATGGAAATGCAGGAGTTGTTAGGTGTTCAGTAGGTTTGTGGCCTTAGGTTTGCCATGGCAGGAGTTCTGCCCACCACTCAGGCTGGGCTAGACCTAACAGTGAGCAGCAGCACCAGGCTGAAGCAGCAGAGGTTGTCTGTTGTGGTGATGATCCTGGAGCTTCAGGCTTCTTTAACAACTCATAGAGACCAGACCTTCCAGTACGTTTTGTTTTCTTTCCCTCTATGGCAAACCAGTGCAGAAGTGGCTGGCTTGTTTGACGTGTTAACGTGGTCATTACTTCTGAGCTAACCCTTCTGTCTAGATGCATTAGTTGACGTGGTGAGTTGGTATAAAATATGTACAGCATTCAGAGGATGGGGAAGGTGATTTGAATGGGGGAAAAAAAACACAGCTATTCTTGTCAAGATTGAACATCAGAGCATTCTCTCTGTCACAAGCAGGATTTGTCTTGCATTAGCAATGAAGTGATAGTTAGGGCAGGCTGTTCTCGCTGTCAGGGAGCAGCAAGAGAAAACTGTTCTGCTGAAGGCATCAGCGTAGCAGAGGAGTCCTTACTGATGAAGTGTGTGTTTCTACAGCACCAAAGTAAGGAGGGCAGAGCAGATATGGTGGCTGGGGTCAGCTAGGAGTCCTGTCATCATCAAGCAAGTCTGTAGCTATGCAGAAGGGCTGGAGTCAAGCCAGGAAGACAACACAGCAAGTTGGTGGTCAGGCAGTGATGTGCTTGTACATAGCTCAAGCAATGCATGAGGACTGGAGCAGCTCTCAAGCATGGGCACAGCTCTTGCCCAAGACAAACTACAAAAAGGTTGGGAGGAAGACTCCAGCAATGAGCTTCCTGTGCTTTGGCATCCTCATTCCTGGTGAAACTGAGAGTTCTCTGAGTTTGGTGAGTGAAAATGTAACTAAGTGTGAGTAGGGACTTGCGTACCAGATCACTGCTGCTCTCACTTTAAGCAATATAAAATAATAGTGCAGTCAGGTTTATGTGCTTGTTTGCTTAACACTACCTCACTGAGAGTGTTTTCCTAAGCCTTGCTGTCTCTGTAAGAAAAGGAGTCAGTGGTATTTTTATGAATTAAAAATTTATTAATTAGTAAGAGTTTTGGTTGCTGCAAGAAAGTATTTCCATCTACTTGGTCTACCACAACACCACCAACTAAACCAAAGGGCTTTGTCCTAGTAATTCTGTATGACTTTATGCATAAGATTCCAAGCTAGGCATTGACAGAAATCACTGCTGGTTTGATTCATCATCTCCATTTGCTACTAAAATTCTTTGCTCCTGAAATCCATTAGAGCAATAGGTGATTTCAGCTGATGCTTTCAGCCTGTTTCATATTCTGTTCCCTGGGCCGTAGGTCCCATCAGTTATTTTTTTCTGCATTACATGAGAGCTTTCTTGTGATCTCATCCTAAAACATACACAATCTGAAACCAAAAAACACAGGCCACCCTGACCTTAAAGTTAAGGAGCTCAGTGATGTTATCTGGAAGTGTTTTTGTTAGATATATATTCTTGGGTATGTTTAGAACTTTTTCACTGTGGCTGTGTTGCTGTAAGGGTGAAAGTCTCACGGGTGCCCGTGTTAGCAGCTAAAGTTTTGGGAAGTGGCATAGATGAATAAAATGGAGGTAGCACTGCCTGTATATTTCGCTGACTTAGTGTGGCAGACTGCCTGTGTTTCCATTTGTACTTCTCAGCAGTGTGCTACGGAAACCGATCCTTTGTCAGCCCTTTCTTAATCGCATTGTGTTTGCTGGTTTCCTCAGCCCTGCATTTTGATGGAGGCTAATCCCAGCATATCTGCGTAGCTGAGCACCAATCTTTTATCCTCACACACACACACACGTTTCCTCCTCAATCCTCACCTCTTCTTAATCACCCCATGTATTTGGGAGCAGCTCTTAGCTGCGAATGCGCTGGGGGGGTGGCAGCTAGCCTAGCATGTGAGAATCAAATGCTGCTTTCTGTCTTTTGCACCTCTAAGCTACTGAGTCACCGTTTCATTCTCTATGCATATATATGCATAATGCACACATAATGCAGTGAAATTATTATCCTTGTGGAGACACAGGCTGTCGGTGTCCTTTTAATTCTGTGCCTGTGCACAGCAGCAGCCCACGGTGCTTAACGTCAAGCACCTGTCTTGATCCAGTATGGAAATTCCCAAGCCCATTGATAGCTTGCTTCTGCATTACCTAGAGGTAAGTTATGGATGAATCAGGAATACTAATTTGCTTATTATTCTTTTTTATTTCTTCCAGCCATTCAGTTCTCTTTAATCATTAACCAGCTCCTTTTTTTTTTCTTGAAGAAGGGAGGCTGGATACAATAGGCACGCTCAGATAAATGAGGATGGGAACAGTGCAGGAATGCCTGATGTTCTTAATAACCAGCTTCCTTTTCAATTAAAGATCTCAGCAGTCAGATTTGGGGAGAAAAACCTATTCTAGCCTGGGAAGGAATGGGGAGCTGCTGCCCAAATCTGGCCTTAGCACAGTGAAATCCATGTGGCATGCTTAGTGCAAGCTGGCCTCTATACTGGGGGGCTTTGTCACTGCTTTCCTCCATCCCATGGTAGAGGGATTAAATTATTTACTGTCTGCCTTTAGCTGCTGGGGACTACCAGAGAAAGCCAATTAGGTAAATTAATCTTTAGCTAAGGTTTCTTGAGGTTTTTATGAGGGTACCATTGAACTTAGTTCACTTTTGATGCTGTGAGGAGTGTTTACCTGCGTTGTTTGGGAGGAACTTCACAGAGCTTTGGAATGCTGCAAAGTGAATTTGGGTTGTGAGGGACATGAGTGGGTGGAGGGGAGTGAGAGGCAATGTAACAGCAGAAGGATTTGTCAGAGGTGTCAAGAAAGGAAAACAGCAACGGATATATTAAAAATATATATTTAAAAAGCAAACAAGCAAGGCATTTCAAGTGCAGAGGCTGAACAGGAGCAAAACACAGAGGGAGACCCAGCTGGATCTGTGTAACAAAGATGGGAGGGAGAGGTAATGGTCTGAAGCAGCTGAATGCCATGATCAAGGAGAGAGTGTGGGGGGAATGGGAAAACAGTCTGGGATGCAAGTAATTGGAACTGCTGCAAAGAGGCTGGTTTGCTTGTGGTTAGAAAGTGCACTTGACATAATAATGAGAGGAATGGATGTGAGTTATTTTTTTAATTCTTTCCTCCAAGCATGCTGCAAAAGGCACTGAGCAATAGCAAAGCTGTCTCTTCTTTTGCTCTTAATATGAGCAAAGTGAGGTAGTGATAACTCCCAAATCCCAGTGTACCAGAGGAGCTAGAAATGGATGTGTTGGCTCTCCCAGTCTATCTCCAACAGCCAGCGTGCTCACTGATTATTCATAGCTGTCAGCAGTCTGATTCTTCACTCAATGTGTTTCATTTGCTCCCAGTGAAGTTTTTTTTCTTTTCTTGGAAGAGGCAATAGTTTCTTCTGTTTGCTTTATTTTCAGAGCAGTTGAGAAGTCAGTGGTGCTGTCGCATCCTTTTCACTAATAGCAAATATGACATGAGGCAAAGATTCAGATAAGTGAGATGCATTTTGCATGTTCAGGGTGTTATTTTCTTCCTGATTTCGTAGGTTGGTGGCTGTGAATACTTCGTTTTGACTTCTTTTCTGATTGGTCTCTTAATCCTGCTTGCATGGTATCTTGCAGGCCATCTAAAGCTAATTAAATCCTGAGGACAGCTGGGTTGTGTTCAGGTATCAGAGATGGACACCCCTATTGAATATGTAGGCAGAAGAATAGAGAAGTTTGGTTAAGTTGTGTGAGTGCAGTTATTTGCAGCAGAAATCCATCTCCAGCACTGACAAAACTCAAGTGACAGCGGACAGATTGGATAACCTTCCTTGCTTTGAGTCTGTGAAATGGGGATAATATTTCTCTACCATGCGAGGCAGTCATGAGGTTCAGTTAAGAAATATGGACGTGTGGTTGGACGTCACTGTGGCGTGTCATAAAAAGCATATAAAAACAGATATAAGCCTGTTGCAAGCTGGCATTTGTTTATTTCTAAGTAGACTTTGGTTTGAGACTGGTTCTCTTTGCACATGATCACTTTTATATTCACATTCTCACTTGGAGCTCTGGGCAGCGTTGGGTTTTGCCCGTGTGATTGGTGTGAAGCATCGAGTTTTGGCTGACAGCTGGTGATAGATGAGTTGATGACCATCTTCTTTTTGGTTTTTCCCTGCTGCAGGTGTACCAGTACTCGACCAGGGGAGACCGGAATGGATGTGACCAGCCGATGCACACTGGGAGATCCTAACAAGCTGCCGGAAGGGGTGCCGCAGCCTGCTCGTATGCCTTACATCTCTGACAAGCACCCTCGACAGACTCTGGAAGTCATCAATCTTCTCCGGAAGCACCGGGAGTTGTGTGATGTGGTGTTGGTGGTAGGTGCAAAGAAGATCTATGCCCACAGGGTGATCCTGTCTGCCTGCAGCCCGTACTTCCGAGCCATGTTCACTGGGGAGCTGGCGGAGAGTCGGCAGACAGAAGTGGTGATCAGAGACATCGACGAAAGGGCCATGGAACTCCTCATTGACTTTGCCTACACCTCTCAGATTACTGTGGAAGAGGGAAATGTCCAGACCTTGTTGCCAGCTGCTTGCCTTCTCCAGCTGGCTGAGATCCAGGAAGCCTGCTGCGAGTTCCTTAAGAGACAGTTGGACCCTTCCAATTGCCTGGGCATCCGAGCTTTTGCTGACACTCACTCGTGCCGTGAACTCCTGAGGATTGCTGACAAGTTCACCCAGCATAATTTCCAGGAGGTAAGAAGCCCCCCTGCTGGAACTGGTTTTAGAGAGCTGTGGTCTACTCTTTCTTTGTGCTTCTTCCCAAACCCTGCTCTCAATTCTGCTCATAGAAATGGATGCTGGCCTCAGGCTGGGGGGAGAGAACTGCTGCAGGGCTGTGTTTCACTGTTCTTCTGTACATCATAAATATGATTTGTGGCATTTCCTCTCTTTGAGTTCTGTGTTGAATGCTGCATGGAAGGCAGGACCACAGACATAGGTGATGTTTGATGTTGCAACTGATGTAGCTGCACTAGGGTGTACTGCAATATATATGATCAGAGGGGAGAAGAGTCTTAAAGGGAGGATAATATATGAGAAATAAAAATGTGTTGAGCATAGGGATTGGGAGTATAAGGGATCTGGGGGAGCATATGGCTGTATCAAGTGAAGTCTTCAACTCCCTTGCTACAGCAGAACCAGGGTTTTGCATTTATTATTCAGCAGAAGCTGGATAGCTAGATGTGAAAGGAATTCACATGTGGTATTTTGTGTCTGACCTTCATATGCTCAAGTCTCTTCTTGCATTTCAAATTCTCCATAGAAAATTTTTTGGGGATTCCAGCTACCAGTTCAGGGAAGGATCAGCGTAATAAAGGATTCACCAAGCAATACCTAGAGAAGAGTGGGTCTTTACTTCATTCTTACACCCAGATGCTGAAGAGAGCCCAACATTTTTAAATGGTATCTTTCCCGAGCCCTGGTTGGAAGGGTAAGAATTTAAGTGTGTTGGAAGCAGCTGCTCTCTAGGGGTGCTCTCAGCATGAAGGTGTGTTCCCTTGGCAGGGGGATTTCTCTTGCCCTTTCTAGAAACTGCTCTTCTATCCACTGGGACAGGTAGCCTGCTGCAGAGAGGCTTCTTTTTTCCACCTGCTTCACAGGTGGATCCTTTCCAAAGGCAGTGGTAACTCTAGGATGGAGTAGTGATGCTAATTCAGATTCCCCAGAGAAGTGGCAGCGTGTGATTGATTGCAGCCTGCACACTCTTGTTTTCCCTGCAGGAAGCAGATTGGAATTGTATTAATTTCAGTCAGGTAGTACTTAAGAAAATTATGAGGAGAAGCAAACATAGTTGAACTTGACTGTTGGACACCTTGAAGACAGTACTTGATATCTGACTGTAGACACATGACATCAGCTTACTCCAAAAGTTGCAGTTAAATATGACTTCCTTAGCCATGACGACAGAATTTGCTACTTAAGAGCTTGTTATTTTCTAGAACTTGGTGATTTCCCAAAAGCACCACATTCAAAGCCCTACATTTAGCTGTCCTTGTCATGTGCTGTGTGCTTGCTCTGCATTTCTTTTCCTCTGCAGTTTTTCCTTGGGAGCAGGATGGTAACCAGATGGTTGTTTATTTTCAGTGCTTGGTGGTTTTAATGGTTAGAGCTGCATTCTTCTTATTATTACACGAGTAGGGCATGCTTACAAGCCTCTAAATAACTTCTTGACAGCATAACACTTTTGTATCTGAATGTTCTAGTGTTAATGCTTGCAGCTGGCTGTCGAGAGCTGCCTGCCATGGGGTTCTTCTCTTTCACAGTCCCTCAGAGATGGCTTTCTGTGTTAGTTTTCCTTGTGAAAGCACACGCAGGCAGGAGTTTTGGTCTCTAGAAAACACTCTCCTCTTTAAAGGCGATGCAAATTATAATTGAATTAACTAAACCACTTAGATTAGCTTGCTGTTTGTTTAGCCTGGACAGTTTTTGGTGTCCTGCTCAGTATCCAAGAGTTCAGCTGCTCTTCATCCCTAGTGATCTCTCATTTTCTTTCTGTTGTTTCTCTGCAGCCAGCATTAATGGTGTTCCTTGCTGGGCCCGTGTTCTGCACTGCCATTACTTTCCATCCAGAGAGTGGTGATCCCTTTCCAAAGGGAGGGAGATAACTGATAGAAAACTTGTACTCCTATGTATGGTCACTGTTCCTCCGAACTGACAAGGAGAAACATGAGATGGGAATTTCCTGAATGGCAGTGTCAAATATTAAGTACTAGGCATCAAGCCAGCCCATGCAGTTACTTCAAATGCAGAGTTGTTTCATGTCCTCTGCTGTGCTAACCCCTACTTCTACTAATTGCTATGTATATATTGCTGCATTACATCGTCAGCTTCTTGGTAGAATGTTTTCCCAAGTTTTCTATTCCCCTTAATTCAATTTCTTGTCTCAAACCCCCAGTGAATCTTGTGTGTGAGATGTGAAATGACTGTACAAGAGCAGCCTTTGTATTTTTGTTTGCTCTTTGACACCTTGTATGAAGGGGGAAAAATCCACATAGGGATGAACAAGCTGTGCTTTGTAGCAACAGACAGATGCTTACTCTATCTGCAAATGTAATTATTGTTAACATAACAGAATTATTATGTGCACAGGATCTTGTTTCATTTATGCTGCAGAACATAGCATAAGTCAAGAAGTTCTAACGTGGTCGTAAATTACATGGACAAGCTGATACTCAGTTGTTTCATGTCAGTGAACCACTCAAATGACTGGCTATGGGCTGGGAGTGCTTGTGGGGAAGCTGAACTGCTGGGTGTCAAGCAAAATTCTTTGCTAGCAGCCTGCAGCCCCAGCACGTGTGTTCAGGGCTGTGTGCTGGGAGCAGCTGAGGCCTCCTGAGGAACTAGTCACCATCTTGGGTGCTGAAGGAATTAACGTGCTGGCAGATTGTCAGCAGCTTGAATTTCACAAGGGATGAGTCCTTAGGGTCTTCAGAAGCTCTGATTCCCTCTTAAGCGCCTTTGGACCCGCACGTGCTCTATGCATATATTTAAAACAAGTGAGAGATGATCAAATGAATCCATCTCCTTGTCCAGAAATGCCACAAACAGGCATTCAGCTTTTGGTAGCTTGTCTTTGAGACTTCTTATTTGTTTTCTTCTTTGGATTGCTTGAGAATAGATCCTCTCTATTCTGATGTTGCTTTATAAGTTACACAGGGCACGCAGGAAGGCTGATTGTAAAGGCATATCTTATTCTTTCTGAGTTCTGAAACCTGACCAATGTGTTCTGTGACTTAACCCTTTAAAACTATCCTGTGGAAACCTTTTCATGCATCTCTGGTGTGTTTCTGGGTCTGCATTTCGCAGCCAGCCTGCCATGTGTTGATGGCAAGATAGTGATGGGTAGTTGACACTTTGCTGGATCGGTCTGTTGGGCTCTACTTCAAGTGGGCCATCTGTCCTTTAGAGTTGCACTGAGAAACAGAAGTGGGAATGGTTCTGGTGCTTTGGCCGTTATCCTCATTTGTGTTTTCTATTTAACCAGGTAATGGAGAGCGAGGAGTTCATGCTGCTTCCTGCCAATCAGCTCATAGACATCATATCCAGCGATGAGTTAAACGTTCGCAGTGAAGAGCAGGTGTTCAACGCAGTGATGGCCTGGGTGAAGTACAGCATTCAGGAAAGAAGACCCCAGCTGCCACAGGTAATAATGAGCACAGTGACATTCAAGGCTCCTTTTATCCAGGAGAAGAGTAATGAGGACTGATAGGGCAACGCAACAGCAGTGTGACGGTTCTGAGTGCATGCAGTTCCATGGTAGTTTTGTCTTCCTCCTGTGTTAGAAGGTTGGCATTTTCCTTTCATCTAGGCTGAAACATGCAGCCAACAGACCTTCTAATAGGGGCTTTATTGAATTGTTTCCAGGTAGGGCTTGACCAAACTAGATTGTTTCAGTGGTCTGTCTAGGCACGGTGGCCTGGATTGCTTTGAGTGTTGTACAAGAAACAGTGGGTAAGGAAAAGCTCGTCTTCATTTGAGGTGCATTTTAAGCTCTGCTGTTTGATTTATGCCTCAGCCCTCAGGATCTTATACTGGAGCTTGTCAGAATGGTTTTGTTGAAATGCAGTGTTTCATCTAAGCCAAGCCATTTCACAGAGAAGCACCCATTCTGACAAAGCTGTCAGCTGGAAAGCCTCTGAAGTCTCAGGCTTTTTGATCAAAAGAAGTGAGTGCCTACCCTGGTGTTTCTTCTTTGGAAATACAGATATTAAATGCAACGATATTTAGTGGAAAGCTTCTGAAAATTGTTTAAAAGCAAACAAAGAAATGCTGCTGTCCTCAAGTTAGCTTTTATTAATGGCATTAAAACTGTACGTCTTTTCAGGTCCCTCTGTCTGTTCCTGTTTGTGCTTGTTATCATTAGCCAGTATCTTTTTTTCCCACTTTCTTTCTGTTTGGAGATTTACAGCTTATCTACAATTGTGTCCTGTTCTGTGTTGCAGGTCCTCCAGCACGTTCGCCTGCCACTGCTGAGTCCCAAGTTTCTTGTGGGCACAGTGGGCTCTGATCCTCTTATTAAGAGCGATGAGGAATGCCGGTAAATCTCCTTGCTGAAATACAGAATGGGATTGCATTCTATTAGGGTGCCTTACTGACATCTATTCTCTGAAACTGCTTGTTTGTTAGTAGTGAACAGGTAATATCTCTCCCGACTTGTTCTTTTGCAACAAGGAGGAGAAGAAATGCAAGATGACATGTTATTTCTTTGCATAATATTGGTAGCGTGCCCTAGAGGAATTCCATTCTTTCAAAGGTTTTTTCTTCTGTGAAATAGCAGAACTGGAGTACACAGGTTGACTTTTGGTTTTAAAAATATATATATATACCCTTTAGTGCATTGTTTTCCATTTCACTTTTTTCTGTAGTCGGGACCTTTCATTCCAGCTTACCACTTGTATGGCATTTATATGCATAATCTCAATATGACTTAAAGTAATTGCTGCATGCAAAACATGATAGCTGAACAGATTCCAGATGTAGTCTCCTTTCTGCACTGCTAGTGGAAGGAAGCTGCCACTTCCTTCTCTTGTGGCATAAGTCACACCTTTCTAATTCTTGTGGAGCTGTACATTATCTGTAAAGCACATGTTTTTCCATGTTGTGCTTAACGTGGAAAAGTTCAGGGGTTAGGCTAAACTTTTTTTCTCCTGAGTAAACAATCATACTGACCGAATTCCATACTTGTAGAGGGGAGGAGGACTTTTTTTCTGTTTTATTTTATTCAAGGGTTTGGTATATTAGGATTAGACCAGGTGATAAGTCATTAATGGATGGGCAGTGTGAGCTGGCCAGAGTTCAAGGAGAAAATATTCATCAGAAAGATACTATCTCCATCTATTGGTCATGCGGGTATTATGTATTTATGTGCTTCTCAATTCCTGTTTTGTTCCAAGGTAAAACCATTGATGCTTAAGTTTTAGCTTGAGGCAAACTGGGTTGTTTTTTCTTTTTTAATACAGTAAGCCCAAGAAATCTCATCACCGTTTTTTAATCAGTCATTACAGCTAGTAGTATCTAATACTGACACCAGTCAAAAATTGATGCAGGGCTATTGCTGTCACTGTGTAAGTGACTTGTAAACAACTGATGAGGATTTTGGTGACAGTGCATGTTTTAACTGCATCTATTCATGCACTTCTGTGATTTGCAAATACCTGAAGCACCCAACGCTTGCTGACTGCTCTTCCCATCAGTTCTGATTCATGCTTTTTCCTTGGACCAGTTTCAAGTGAACTTTGGGAATTCATATTTTCCTGTCTTGTGCAGGGATTTAGTGGATGAAGCCAAAAACTATCTCCTGCTACCTCAAGAGCGACCGCTGATGCAAGGACCACGGACCAGACCACGCAAACCCATCCGTTGTGGGGAGGTGCTCTTTGCAGGTGTGTACAGCTCCTGCTGGCTTAAATCAGGAGATTCAAATCTGTTTTGCTGGTGATAGTTTTCTTTTAAACAGAATCTTGTCACCATCTTTCTGAATGACCTGTGCATTAATATTGGGAGATTTGAGTCAGCTTGCACTTCTTCCCTTGTGTCATCTCTTTGGTGGTATCACTACTTCCAAGCGTAGGTTAATCCTCTTGAAAATCAAACTCTACCTTCTAATTTTAATCATCAGAACGATGAACTCTGAGAGATGAAGCTACTGGGTTAAGGCCGCTGAAGTGCAGAGGCACATGTGCAGTATGTGTGCTTGGTGTGTTATTGTGACACTATTTCTTGCCTTTGGTCCCAACAGTGGGGGGCTGGTGTAGCGGGGATGCAATCTCCAGCGTGGAACGGTATGACCCTCAAACCAATGAGTGGAGGATGGTGGCTTCCATGAGCAAAAGACGCTGTGGCGTTGGTGTCAGTGTCCTGGATGACCTTCTCTATGCAGTGGGAGGCCATGATGGTTCCTCTTACCTGAACAGTGTAGAAAGGTAGGTCTCCGTAAGGCCAACATGCAGAGTACTAACTCTGAGTTCTTAAACTTGGGTGCTAACTTCATCTTGCCAGCTATTTTTGTTTGTTTGTTTTCCTGCTGAAAAACTGATTATTAGTTGTTATCTATTTCAATATGTACTGGTTTACTGCTGAACTAGGTCTTCACACATCCAGCTTGTGTCATTTACTCTTGGTTTAATGGAACGAGACGTAGCTTTTGGTATAGGGAAGAATCACAAAGAGGTGGGTCTGGTTGTAATTGGTGGGAGGAGTGTGATCCTAGTTAACTTTCTTTGCAGTTGCTGGTTTGTTTCCAGTGTTGTTAAGGAAGGTTGAGGTTGCAGCATGCATTACTTCAACGGTGAGGGAAAACATCCTGGAATTTCATGCAGAGTGGTAACTACAGAATTAAGGAACCTTGCAAACACACAGAAGAAGGAAAATAAACTACTTTTAGGCCTGTGAAAGACAGGTTGAACAAGCGGTGTCAAGCTTCATGTTTCTGGGAGCAGTATACTGCAATCTGCCTGCCTGCAAGCCACATGACTCATGCACTCCAAATCTCTTCCCTGTACCAAATCCAATGAGCTATACAAATATTCCTCCCCTTCTTTTCACTGTCTCTTTGCATACTGCCAGCTTCTCATGTCATGATCCAATGTCTCCCACATCTTGCACTTTTCTGCTGTGCACCATTGTTCCTTGCTTCTGGGTTCCCCAGTTGGTCTGGATCATTTGTCTTTATCAATAAGAGCAGGTTCAGTGCTGGCTTGTGTGAACTGCAGAGTATATCCAGCAGAGTAACTCTGACTGCTGCTCTTTGCACAGATGCAAGTTAGCACATGTCAGCCAGTCCCTGGTAATATGCTTTCTTACAAACCTCAACCTTTGATCTTCAGTTTGAATCATCTGCACTGCAGTTTGAACATCCCTGCAATTACATGTGCTGCATGCGTTGCATAATTCTGGAATTATTTATTCAACTTATAAATAGCTGTGCTGCAGTTCAGACTCAAAATGGGTGAATTTTACTGCTTCAGTAGTTTCCAAACTTGGGAAAGTCTGAAGCATAGATAAGCAACTTGTGCTGTTTTTCTAGGTACGATCCAAAGACCAATCAATGGAGCAGTGATGTGGCCCCCACCAGCACCTGCAGGACCAGTGTTGGAGTAGCAGTTCTTGGGGGCTACCTTTATGCAGTTGGTGGCCAGGATGGTGTCTCTTGCCTCAACATTGTGGAAAGGTACTTAGGTTTTTAAAAACAAAATTAAAAGAGAGGAAAAAAAAAAAAAAGGGAGCATGGGAGGAGGTAAATGTACAGATTCTATGGGATTTATCTTTGGGGAGAATAAGATCAGCCTTTCTACCCCCTTTGTGAAGATGTTGATGTTTCTGTGAGCTTTGATGTTTATTCTTCTGCCAGGTACGATCCCAAAGAAAACAAATGGACTCGAGTGGCTTCCATGAGCACCAGGCGCCTGGGAGTTGCAGTGGCTGTTTTAGGGGGCTTTCTCTATGCAGTGGGAGGCTCTGATGGAACTTCTCCTCTCAATACAGGTATGCCTTTTGCTGTCCCTCATTGCTGTCAGCATTTGTCATCATCCTGTTTGTTGTCTTTAATGTCTCCAGAGGGCAGCTGAATGTCTTGATGACCAGCTAGCTGCCTGTTTTCTCCTTCAGATGGGATTTTGCAATATGGTAATTCCTATATGGTAAATATATGAGCCTGTGAACCACCGTTACCTCTGTGTGTATGCATGTATGGTTTTTTCCCCTTTGATGCTGCATTTGGCATGGTAATGGTGATCATTTTGTAGCACTGCCAACTCATTCCTGAGTGAAAATGCTTTATCTGATTGATTGACTGCATAGGATTGGAGACTGGAGAGAAAAGCAAGCTCTTTATGGAAGGAAAGCATTAGAGTGACAGAACAAACCAGTACATCCTGTTTTTCCTGTGTGGACACTGCAGTATCTTTACAGATTGAGCAATGCTTTGGGTACTGATATCAAAGTGCTGACCTCCACTGCTTGCTAACCCTGTTCCCACCACTATATACATTTCCTCTGCAGTGGAACGATACAATCCTCAGGAGAACCGCTGGCATACGATTGCACCCATGGGGACGAGGAGGAAGCACCTGGGCTGTGCAGTGTACCAAGACATGATATATGCTGTGGGAGGCAGAGATGATACAACGGAGCTTAGTAGTGCTGAGAGATACAACCCTCGAACCAACCAGTGGTCTCCTGTCGTGGCCATGACATCCCGACGGAGCGGAGTGAGTTTGGCTTGGTTTGCTTGCTTATGTTATCTGTCATCACATAGTGAGAGTAAGGGGTAGAGCATTATCGAGTGAGGTACAAGAAAGATAGGGAGCTGTTGGAGAGGGTCCAGAGGAGGGCCACGAAGATGATCAGGGGACTGGAGCACCTCCCCTATGAGGACAGGCTGAAGGAGCTGGGCTTGTTCAGCCTGGAGAAAAGAAGGCTGTGGGGTGACCTCATTGCAGCCTTTCAGTACCTAAAGGGAGCCTACAAACAGGAGGGGAATCAACTCTTTGAAAGGGTGAGTGACAGCAGGACAAGGGGAAATGGTTTTAAGCTGAGGGAAGGGAGATTTAGGTTGGACGTCAGGGGGAAATTCTTTACGGAGAGAGTGGTGAGATGCTGGAACAGCTGCCCAGGGAGGTTGTGGATGCCCCATCCCTGGAAGTGTTCAAGGCCAGATTGGATGGGGCCCTGGGCAGCCTGGTCTAGCATTAGGTGGAATGGTTGGTGGCCCTGCATGTGGCAGGGGGATTGGAGATTCATGATCCTTGAGGTCCCTTCCAACCCTGGCAATTCTGTGATTCTGTGATCTGTATCTTTCAGAATAGAAACCGGTAAATGTTTGCAAGGGGGTTCTGCTCTTTAGTAAGACTCAAGAATGAAGTGGTAGTTGGGTCATGGCATGGACATTCAGTTGTTTGAAGGTCTTTTTAAAATAGTTTTTGTCCCTTATACTGAGGAGTTAAACTGAAAAGGTCTTCAGCTTCTTCTGAAGTAGTCGTATTTGGTGTGTGATAGTATTAGAGAACAGTATTAAAATCAGCACCTGGGTCTCATCTTGCACTTTGGGTGAGTTAGGAAGTAAACAATCCTACCTGCATAGAAAAAAGAGCTGGAAAACTGAGGAATTGCGTGTAGATACTAACTTGTAGCTAAGCCCTTTCATTGCCTTGATGTGTGTGGGAATGGGGTTTTTAGGCTTTCAGATGGAATGTTGCCTCCCTTCCACAAATCCTGTGGGTATGGAGAATGACAGTGTGTTTTCATCAACTCCTAATCTTCCTGCTTTCTGTAGGCATATGAACAAAAGATTAACGTGGTGTTTTAAGTAGTCATCATGTTTAGGCAGATGCGAATGTTATGAATATTTATCATTGGATACTGAATTACATAGTAAAGCAAAGCATGGATTCATTCTGTCTGCACGTTAGTATTTCAGTGTCTGGTGAGGCAAGTGTGAATCATAACTTGAGCAAGTACTGGTTTGGGGAGCAGAAAAAATGTATTTCCTTCCTCAAAGCATGTAGTACACTGTTCAACACTGTCCTTTCTAGCTACCAATTAAGCATTGACTCTTCATGAATTCCTTCTATATTTGCATTATGTAGAAATTCCTCAACAAATGCAGCTGCTTGTGCAGCCCTCCTAAGTTTGTTCTAAGTACTTCAAAACCAAAATGAGGACTGTATTACAGTGTGTTCTTATCTTTGCTTTGTTTTCACTGGAAGTGATCTGCCTAAACCACAGAACTGTTTGAGGTTTTTGTGATTCTTGTGCTTCTGCAGAAGGATAAAGTAGAAAGGCTGGAAGCCAAGCTGTTAACAGATGTTCCAAGCCACAGCCTGGGAGGAGCAGGCTATGTAGGCTTACATATGGTTCTCCTCCAGCTTAAGCAGTCATTGCAGGCTATAGGTTGGTAGATGTTCTGGAGTGCATGTTGTAGTTTGTCAAGAAGTCTCATCTAGTGCAACGTGACATACATTGGCTGATAAAGACTTATGTTCTGATGTCTCTATAAACATTGAAGCGGTTCTAGCTCTTGTCATCACTAATAAGGGGAGCCTTGTGCTTTTACTGTGATATCTCTGCTTTGAGATATGTACTTAGCTTTTCATGTCTTCTTATTTAAAACCCAGTACTTGGATTGTGTGGCACCTTATACCAGTCTGTCCTAGTTAAATGCATGTGAGACTGTTTTGTACGTTTCCCCCCCCTAGAAAATTCCATTGCAGCTTGCCTTTCTCCAAACACAGCCGCTAAACCTTTTATTAATATTTATTTCAATTGTTATTTTCAGAGTATGCATTCAGGACATGTCTTTTCAGCAAGTAGCTAAGCAGCTGCTGTGATGGTTGTTTTACAGGTTGGCCTTGCAGTGGTGAATGGACAGCTAATGGCAGTGGGAGGGTTTGATGGCACAACGTACTTGAAGACCATTGAGGTGTTTGATCCAGATGCTAACACATGGAGGTAACTGATAAGTTTGTGAAGCAGTTAAATAGCAATCTCCAGATGTAGCTGCTGTCACCCAGCTGGAGCTGTCCCAGCAAATTAGAACTGTGACATACAGCTTAGTGCAGCAGCCAGCATTAATTTCATGCTGTAAATTCCTGGTTAGCATGAAGCTGTACAAGGATCATATTTTGAAAAACTGGGAAGCCACAGGATGGCTGTCTTCCCTATTATGCCTGAAACATAGTCCAGTACTGAGCAGTAACTATACAGAAAGGGTCACTTGCTGCTTACTAGCTTTTGTGGCAGACTTGTATTGCTACAACACTGCTGCCTGACTGCAGAAGCCTTCCGTGACAAGATGACTTCTCTGTTTAAATATGAATGGAAGCTGAACACTGGTAATGTCCCAGTGTTATTTACCTGCTGTACTCCCGTGCCCACGACTAGTTTGAAATGTTTTCTTGCGAGGTTCTGCTTGGAAAACCGAGTCTAGGTATGTTCTTGAGACCCAGAGAAAATAGGCAACATAGCAAGCTTGCCAGGTAGCAAGGACAATGTTATTCCAAAATGTAATTTGTTGTAAGTGTCACTTTTGAACTTGGAAGTGTGAGCCATGCTGAAAGACATCTGCCCCTTGTGTTTATTTTGGGCTGAGTCTCTTCTGCTTCCTGGTAAAAACGAGCTGGCCCTTAGAAGGTGTAGAAACCCTTAGTCACAGTGTAGAAACCATCCTACTCATTTTTGGCTTTCAAGCTGAGGCTCTGAGCTCCATGTTTTTCTGTAGGAGCTAAGGCAGAACACTGAGCATACGATGTTCTTCTCCCTTTAAATCTGTAAGACAGCAATTAGAAGATTTTCATCTGATTCACAAGATAAATCACAAAATTGATTGAAAATGTATACTGAGAAGCTGTGTTTCTTCTTTCCTAGTCTTAACTACACTTAAAAGCAATTATTTATTCCCAAATGTAATTAAAGTTTCAGTCTCGCTACTTTAGTAATCTGGAGGGAGTAGAGGGGAATAGAAAGCAATTAATGCCCTTATTCCTTTTTGCTTAGTAATACTAGTAGATTAATCCCTTTTTGCTGAGACGAGCTGTCATAAGGAGCATCGGTGGATCTTCCCCTTGTCTGCTGAGCTATGGTCAGTGCAAGCAGATCTGCTGAGAAAACCCCTCTGAGCAGAGAGGAATATGTACTTTCTCTTCCTTAGCTGAATGGTTTCAGCTACTTTTCAACGGCTGTAACAATAATAAGATATCTTGAGCTAGGAGTTACCATTTAGGACAGCATTTGCAGATCTTTTGGAGGTTGCTCAAGGTGTTAGCTGAGAGTCCCCCCCACTTAATTCAGAATAGCTGATCATCATCTGGTCTTCCTTTTCTTTGTTGAACTTCTTGTTCTACGAAGGGCTTCTTTTTGTGTAGCTCGACTAAGAAATACTTCTAATATCACTTGTTAATCCCAGATTGCACTGGTAAGAGTCGTTTGAAGAACTTGCTTCTCCTGTTTCTGCCAGCAGACTTCAGCAGCACAGAGAATTACACAGCTGAAGTGAGTAGGATCCTGGAGTCTGCAGGGATCAGATTTCCATATGAAACGCAGGCACCGTTTCAGTAACATATCTTGGAGAAGCAGATGGTGTGCTTGGGATGTGTTACATCTTGGCTGGATCAGCTGAATGTATAGGGTATTAGAAATGTAAAAAAAAAAAAAATTAGTTGGCTTGTAAATTGCAGATCTGTCCTTGATCCAGTGCTATCCAAAATGTAGCCCAAGGTCAGCTGAAATTGTTTTTCTTTCCTTTTTTTTTATCTTTCCCACAGCCAGGCAGGGAGAAAGTAAGTGATTACTGAAATAACAGGAAACTGTCGTGGCCAAACAAGCAGTTTCTGTTTAGAGGGAGAAAGGCATGAGCAAATACGAGTGTTTATCTTGGAAGTCTGTAAAAAGGCGGCTGCTCCGCTTCTAACTTGTCACAGCCCACTTTAACCAGGTGTTAACAGTGGTGTAACTATGCTTACAAAGGCTGATTTGATCATTCTCGTGGTGGCTTAATGAAAGAGCTGGAGCAATGTGCCTATTGAAGCCTTCTCTTTGCAGGTTGTATGGAGGGATGAACTACCGGCGGCTGGGAGGAGGAGTAGGTGTTATCAAAATGACACACTGTGAATCTCATATATGGTAAGCACCAAGAGAGAGGGAGACCTCCTGGTTCTCATTCCTAGAACAACTGAAGAGACTTGTTGACACTGGACTCTTTGCAGCTCTAGTACGGACGGTCTAGACCTGATGTAACTCTTTGCCAGTGACTCTTTCTATGGAATTATAAAAATGACTTCTGTGAGAGTGTGCCCAATGGGAGACCACATTGTCAGACTCCAGGGAACCACTGGACAAAAGTAGAAGTGTTGCTTATGTCCATATTTTTTTCTAACTAGTCTACAATTTTGAATAAACCAAACTGTACAATTCACCATAGCATAAACAATGCCAATGCACAGACTACAAGCTACAATGGGAGTCTGGCAAGGAGAGTTTCCTGCCTTTCCCTCCTGCTGTGAGCATTGGATGTGGCAGCTGTGTTGGTGGGTGAAAGAGGAAGGTGATACAGAAAACATTGCTTTTGCCTTATTTACAGAGAGCTTCAAAAAAGATAAAAGTACTTGACCTGCAAGGTGCCACCTTTGCACAGAAGCTTTCCTGTGCACAGAGTATATTTATTTTTTCATTTAATTTGTATCACGTCTTTCCTTTGTGTCGCTCACAGCGATGATTCCAGCTTTCTGTATACATATATATGTGTGCATATATATGTATTTTATATATATATGTATATGTGCGTGTGCAATTTGAGTTTTAATGAGTTGATGGTTAGGGCAGGGCTATGTCCTGCAAGCTATTGTGGTTCCAACCCTGGTGGTATGTAGTTGGGTCTCAGAGTATGGGAGAGCTATGGGTACCCTGAGTGTCTTTTCAGTCTTGCTGGAGGCAAGAAGTAGAACTGGAACTCTCATCTATCGACTGAATCAGTGAAAGGCCATAAAAGAAGGTGAGAGTGAAAAGGATTTCATATGATGCCTTTTTACTGTACAGCGTATGGTACAAAAGTTCAGCTTTTGTCCCTCACCTCCTCTGTGTATGATCCTAGAAACAACTAGCTGTTGCTTATTTAAATGTCTCATATATTCAGCAGACAACCACTTCTTCTCTGAAGCAGGTAGGCAGGTATCATCTGTTAATTCTGGCTAGCCTAGATCAAACACTCACCTCTCAGGTTCTTGATAGAATGGCAGACCTGCAGTTGAGTCAGCTACTGCTGTGAAAAATGCTTAGACCAGTGTCACCTTAACTGCCCTCCTGCCTCTCATCTGTGTCTCTAGAATTCCTATTGTAAAACACTGACCACGATGAGATGGTGCACCCACTTCCGATGATTTGTTTAAAATGCACTTTCTCTGTTCTTGTCTAGAACAGGAAAAGGTCTGAAATCGTGGAAGAGTTTGGAAGGGAGGGACTGTTTGCTGGCACTGTGAATTACTGTCATGTTTTGGTGAGTGCAGAGGTACCCAGGGTAGGGAGAGAGGAAGGAGGAACTGTAGACTCAAAGGTTCTGATACGTTTGTCTGTACTGTAAGTACTGTCTGTACTGAGAAGACCTGTTGCACCTGATGTAACTTTGGACCTTATTAAATCTGATTTTAAAAGGACTGTGAATTCTTGAGATGAAGGCAGTGCTGACATCTTAAGTTCTTATCTTCATCGTTTGATTTATGTAACAGCATTTTAATGTGCTTGAATATAGTAGAAGTTACACTACAGTAATAAATGGGTCATTAAAAGTTTTTTTTTTAAAAAAAGCTCCTTTTCCCCTAAAGGTTGGTATTCTTACGTTTACATATGAAGATCATTTGCACCTTTAAAAGGAAAACAAGTATTCTGTAAACAAATGTTTACATTTATCATTTATGCTTTTTTCTAGCATGAGTAACTTGTATAAATAGTGCTATCTTAATAAATTTCTTCTATGCTATTCTTTGTTTGTTCCTTTGGTTGAAAGCAGTGGATTATGCTTTTGTACAGTTTGTATAGATATAGTGAATAGGAATGCTACCTTTTTCAGGTAAAAGTCCAAGTAAAAGGGGCTTAAAAACTCTGCTGGCATTTGGTGTTACCTTCACTTACCTAGAAGCATGTGCTTCAGAACCAGTTTTGTTTTACTGAAAGAAAGTAGCTGTGTGACTTTGTCAAATCTAGCTCTGCTGCCTTCTCTACAGATGCTGAGAGCTGTAGCACAGATAAGCATGTGATAAGGCAGGGGAAGTAGTTCTTTATTCCAGCACTACTCTACAGGCAGCCTATGGTAGATACTGAGCATGGTTAGCAAAGCACTGACTTCAGCTAAGTACTGATCTTAAAAGCAAAGCCTGCTGCTGGAGCATTCCCACAAGGTTTATATGCTTTTAGGTTCTGTTCTTAAGGCTACATTGAATTTAGAAGTTACTTATGCAAACTGTCAGAGCAGAACATCAGATCTTGAAAATGACTAATGGGTTAATTTAAAATCAAATACAGGTCTGCTTACCAAGCATTCCTCTCAGTCGACATAGCAAACTTTAATGTCTTTGAAAGGAAACTAAAACAACAGAACTAATAGTTGCTGGGCTGTCAAGAACCTGTGGCTGTGCTTAACTCAGTAAGCATCCTCAATTCACCAACTGCAGCCTTCACAAGCCAAAACTAACTTCAATTAATACAAACTGAAAGTAAGTACATGGTTCTAACTGTAGTAGTAGGCTAGTTTCAGTAAAAAAAAATAAGGAGCTAGGCATGTGATGGTGGCATGTTAGGCAGTTATTTGTGTGTACAGGGCTGGTTCATCTCAGCCTTGCTGGGGTGAAGAACAAACAAGCCAGCTCCTTTTAGGTGGAGTTGATATGTGTGTCCTAATGTTGTGGTTTGGTCAACTCACACCTTGCCTTCCTTCTTACAGGTAGGTTACAACATATTTAACTGATTATGCATCAAGAACTTTGTACAGGTGAAGTTATTACAAGTGAATTCCACAGGAAATTATGCCTTGCACATTCAATAATACTGTGAGCAGCAAAGCTTAACAGTTTAGTCAGGTAAAAAAAATTATAATAAAATACAAGTATACATTGAGTGAGACATGCTGTTCTTCTCTAGTCAATTAGGGAAAAAAGCTAAAAAATGTTTACGAGGTACTGTACTATGAGTCATAGCCCTTCTACTTCCTTTTGGCTCACATAGTTCATAGCCTCTGTGCACTAGCTCTGAATTGTTACTTGCTATAGAATGAGATCAAATTTAAAGTTCTAGCAAAAGTTTTACCAAGAGCTCCAACTCAGAACTCTGGCCTACAGTATTACAACCAAGGCAATAAACTACCAGGCAAAGCACATTAAAATCTCTAGTTCATGCTGATTTCAATTTCTCACGCATTAACTTTGTGAGGACCAGAGCTGGAAACAAGGGAACTGTCATGCTTTTCACCTTGCTCAGCTAGGGAGTAGATGAGCATTTTATGACCATTACTAGCCAGCCTTAATTAGCTAAAAATGAAGTTAGAAGCTTGACAGTGGAGTGGTTGACATGTAGCCTGCAGCCCAAGTGTACCACAGTATAACTGTATAGCTGGTGCTATCACAGTTAAGTGAAAACCAAAATTGTTGACACCAGCAATAATGGAAAAACCTGTCAGTAAGTTGCATCCAAGAACGTGCAGTTTTGTCTCCTAGCCCTCAGCAGATAAACATATACAAATGGATAGAGTGACTGTAGCAGACAGATACTTAACAAGCTACTGTAGGGTTAAATGCCTTTTCTGCTTATTGAATTGTGGCTATGGTTTTAAATGCAATAGTTATACACAGGAGTTACAGATCAGAAGAAAAAGTGCTGCAAGAATGAATTTTCAGTAGGTTTATCAGCTTCCATCAGTAAGCCTCTCTAGGCACAAAGATACGCTGAGTTGAGTCTCACTGTATCTGAGAGATTGCTAATTCTGTCAGTAGCATCAGCACTCCAATCAGGTATTGGCTTTGTAGAAACTGTTAAAAAAAAAAAAAAGAACCAGTGGTCATTTACACAGCCTTAAATGACTAAAGCAAATGAATGCAGTCAGATTTGCAGTTGTCTGCAAAATACTTTCTTTTTTAAAAACGATTTTGACCCAGGATATGGAGCAGAAACACTCCCTGCTGCTCTTATTGGAGCCCTCTGACTTCTATAGGAAGCTATTTGTAAGAAACAGGCAGCCTTCATTTTTAAAAGGAAGGCGTTTCTAATAAAGTACCACTATTCTACTTGTCTGGTGTTAGGATAACATGCTGCATGATCATTGAACTCACTTTTATGATCCCATCGCAGTGTGCTGAGGCAATTCCTGTAGAAACTTTCACCAGTTTTGTAGCTGACAAGTGGATCTTAAAGTGTCTGTGGAAGTGGGAATAAAGGCATTCCATAAAGACATCCACCTCTTCCTGAGTGATCTCTCCTGGAGTTTTTTGGACTGTATCCCACAGAGCTTTTACATCCTCAGGGTGAATGGCATATGAAATATCCAGAGGCTGAGGCAGGTGAGGAACAGAGAAAAGCAGTTCCATGGCAGCTGTGTTTTTGTCCACTTTGCATCCAGTCCACATAGCTGCCATCCAAGTGAGATTGAGAGGGCTGATGGCTAAACGACGGAAACAGCAGTCAAAAGTCTTCTGAAACCAACTTCCAACAATGGCTGTGTAACTCTCCGCCCCGTTAACGAGGAACAAAGGTAAACAAGTGAAATTCTCAGGCAAATTCTCTAAGAGATCATCTCCAGCCACACAGCAGAACCATCCTGACCATATCAGCTTCTCTTCTGAGTTTTTTGGGGAAAGTGATGATCTCAAGGAAAGCTGGGAAAAAGAATCACAGAATCATTAAGGCCGAAGAAGTCCACCATGATCATCCAGTCCAACCATCAACCTCTCCCCACCGACCACATCCTTCAGTGCCGCATCCCCAGTTTATGATCACTTCCAGTGACAGGCGACTCCACCACCTCCCTGGGCATCCAGCACCTCAACCCAAACAGAACCTCCAGTGGCACAACAGAATCACAGAATTGCAGGGGTTGGAAGGGACCTCCAGAGATCATCGAGTCCAACCCCCCCTGCCAAAGCAGGTTCCCTGCACCAGGTCGCACAAGTAGGCATCCAGGCAGTTCTTGAATATCTCCAGAGAAGGAGATATTCAAGCAACCTCCCTGGGCAGCCTGTTCCAGTGCTCAAACCTGAGGCCATTCCCTCATCGCAGGAGGAGAGGCCGACCCCCAGCTCAGCACAGCCTCCTTTCAGGCAGTTGAAGGGAGCAGTGAGGTCTCCCCCGAGCTCCTCTTCTCCACGCTGCCCCATCGGGGCCTCACATCTCTTTAAAACCCCCGCAGCCCGTGGCTGAACACCCCGGCGCTGTGTCCTTAGCCGGTCCCAGAGCTGTGGGTAGCACCCCGTGCCCCACCTGCACCAGCACGGCGGCGGGGTCCTGCTCGCTGCCCCTCAGCTCGGGCAGGCCGGACATGGCCACCCTGACCCCCAGCTCTCCGTCCACATCCACTGCCAGCCCCTTCTGCTTCTCGGCGGCGATGAAAACGCCCAGCATGCGGGCGTAGTCCTTCAGGTCGGCGCTGGAGAACTTGTACAGAGGGCTGACGCTGTACAGGGTCCACTGCTTGCGCAGCAGGAACGCCGTCTTCTGCGGATCCGCGTCCTCCTAAAAACGAAGGACAGACATCCATTGCAGCGCTGCCCCTCGGGGCTCGGCGGCCTCCGAGGGACGGCCCTACCTGACAACGCGGCGGCAGCAGGCGGCTGCCGGGACTCAGCCCGTAATTCCGCCCGAACAGCGGACCTCGGGACAGCCGCCCGGTGCCGGATGGCCGCCCGCTGCTGGGCAGCGTCCGCATCGCGCCCTCCATCTCTATAGCGGAGCCCGCCGGCCGCCCGCCCGCCATTTGAACGCCCGTCCCGTCGGCCCCCGCGCCGCCCCGCCCCGCCCCGCCCGCCATCTTGGGGGCGGTGCCCGTTGCCTGTCGGCGTTATGGCGGCCGGGCGCGCTGCTGCCTGAGCCGTGCCGTTTGCTGGCATGCTGCGCTTCGTACGCGGCGTGTTGCCTCGGCTGGGTACCGAGCGGGCCCGACTGAGCAGCGGCTGGGTGCCCCGAGCTCCAGGTGAGCGGGCTGTGAGGGGGTCGGTCCGAATCCTGTCATGGGCGTGTGGTTGAGCAGCGCATCCATTGGCTGTTCCGTGCCTCAGGGCTGAGTGGCACTGCGTGCTGGCTGTCAGCGTGTTCGCACACTGGCTTCCCGAGCCCTCCTGCTCCAGCCTTTAGTGAGAAGGAAGGGGGCAGGCTGTTCAGCAGGGTCTGTGAGATAGGGCAAGGAGAAGTGGCTTCAGGCTAAAAGAGGGGAGACTTATCCTGGATGTAAGGAAGGAGTTAGTTATAATAAGGGCATTGGGGTACTGGCACAGGCTGCCCAGAGAGCTGTGGGTGCCCCATCCCTGCAGGCAGCCTGAGTTTCTGTGGTGTTTTTTTTTATATTCTAGATGTCAATAGCTTTGCTGCTCGGACCAACACCTGTGGAGAGCTGCGTGCTGCTCATGTAGGACAGGAGGTCACGTTGTGTGGATGGATTCAGTACCAAAGGTAAACTCAAACCACTGTGAGAACAGAGCTGCTTCATTGGCAGATCCAACATATGCTATAGGCCTGCATTCAGACACTTCTGTGTGCTTTCAGTTACCTTATGCTGTCCCCTTCTAATATGTGTGACTAAACAGTTGGGAACTGTGCCCCAGCAGTATTTAACACTCTAGATTTTGGTATAAATATTAATTGGTCCTCCTTTCATCCCTGTAAACAGCTAAATGTCACTACCCTCTTTGTATGTAGGAGTAAGTAAATAGTATTTACAGCAGTTCAGACAGCTTCTGGTTTCTTTTTTTATGGATTTCTTAGATTGTCTTTCAATTTAAGCAAAATATATTTTCTACTGTAGCATCTAATGATGCATCTTTAAAGTATGCATCCTGAAAAGGATATGCTAAGAGAAGTTAGCAAGCAGAGGATAAAATATCAGTTCCAACAACTTGCCATAGGTGGTGTTAAATAACCTCTCCTGTTGGAGCTGTGCATTTGTCAAATGCAGACTAAAAAGCTTGCTTGTATTGCAGCTCTTAATTGTTGTGTTCCTGGATATGTGCAAGTAAAAAGGAGGTATGTCCTATGGTTTTGAGCAGAATAATTCCCATCAAAAGTGGCCTTTTGTATTTTATGCTGCAGTGGGACCACCTTTTATCCAGCACTGTTCTGCAGTGATGGTCAGCATTGGTTGTGTGAGGCCAGCATGAGCATCTCTGAGCAGTTGTGGGTGGGAGCAGTGCTGTGATTATTGCAGTGAGATTGTTTGGCTTTTGCCTTTAAACATAGGGTATGTTTCATAGGGCAGTTCAAGCATAACAGCAGCTGCCACTATTGTATCTAAGGAGATTGCTATTTGTGATGCTTGGTCTAGGAATGTGAATTGCTCATGTCAAGCTTATGAGAGTAGCACTCTGCTGCCTGTTAGATGGTTGTGAGTTTTCTTTTTGTTGTTTTCTTGACAAAATCCATGTGAACTTCAGTTCTGTTGCTCACCTAAATGTGTTTATCTGAATCAAGTTTCTCAGCAGGAAATCTCTGGAAATTACCTGTGTTTGTAAACCATGCTCTCTGTGATTTAATGTTCAAATTAAGATACTGCATCTTCTGGTTATTTGCACATTGTGACTGGATAAAATCTGAATCCAGTTGTTCAGATCAGATTCAGATGTGTATGTTTCTGGAACATTTTAAGATATTAATAACAAGATACAGACAATAACTTGTCACCACATACATTGACTTAAAAAGCAAAAGATGACTGGATTTTGACAGAACTCTTTTCCCTTTTGTGTTCTTTGTTGTGGATCAGACAAGGCCTGTTCCTGGTTTTGAGGGATTTCCAGGGACTCACCCAGATCATCATTCCACAGGATGAAGTAAGTGCTACCTAAGTATGAGCTTGTGTGCAGCAGAAATTGAGGTCAGAGCAAGATACTTAGCCAGAGAGCCCTGTGATGCTGCAGAAGGACTGCTAGTACTGTTTCCTCTGGTTTTATGACCACTGGTCCCAGATTCAAACGGACAATTTAAAAATAAGGCATGGTGCTTTAGAGTTTTTGGCATCTCCTTGCAGGCACATTCTCATGTGAGGAAGCTCCTGTCCAATGCCCCAGTGGAATCTGTTGTGCGAGTGACTGGCATCGTGTCTTCTCGGCCCCCAGGCCAGGAGAATCTGGTGAGGATGCTGGGGTCTCTCAAGGTTTTTATTCCTTTGGGGGTGAAGAGCACTGGGCAGTGGGGTTACAGTTGTTTATGTGTGTCATAGCTTTGCCACAGGCAGTTTTATTCTGTGCTGTATGTCAGCCTATCCTCAGAGATTGTGAGGCAGCAGTAACTGCTGTGACAAACAGATTAAGAAAAGCCACATTATAGAAAGCCAGAATTAAATTCTACTCTTTGAAAGGATAACGAGAACCAGGGAAAAACTAACTTTACAGCCTTTCAAATTATGGTCGAGATCACTTTTTTTCTCCTAAAAACAAGTATTGTCACTGTCTTCTGCAGTAAGTGATGACCTTTTTCTCTCTCAATAGATTCCTGTTTCTCACTGTATAAGAAACAAAGATTTAATACTGCTTTTCTTTTAAAAGTGCATTGTTTAGTCCTCATTGTAATCAGCTGTAGATAGCCTGTCAGGATTGTCAGTATCCTGCATCATTGGCAGACCTGGAAAGAAAACACTGGGTTTATAACTGTGGGTGTGTTGTTATGTTTGTTCTTTTTTTCTATAATCACTTACAGATGTCCATAAGGGATGCTGTCTTCAAACTGTGATGTTTGTTTTAATCACTTATTTTGTCAGAAGTTTGTGTATATTTTCCCTGCTAAATAAAGAGTTCCAAAGGATGAAATGAATCTCAGTGTGGCACAGTGTTCAGTGGGGGAGGCTGTCTGCTTTCCCTCAGGAAAAGAATACTAATTCTGAGAACTGGTGTTCAGAACTGGAAATTCTGAGAAGTTCCTCCCAGGTTGCCTTTTTGGACTTTTATTGAAGGCAGATGTACTCTAAAATTCATTCTGTGTGATTTCACTGAATCTAAAGGAACTACTGTTTTATCCAAGTGTATGTGCCCTACCAGGATCTGTGTTAGATGCTCCTCTGTGCTCAGCATGTCACTAAAGCAGAAAGTAAAAGGAAAAGCAGTGTTATTTCTTGTAGAGATGGATATGCTGCTAGAAGAGAACACAGTTTTGAGTGAGCTGGCTTGTATTTTTTCTGAGCGGGAGGAAAATCTAGGAGAGATCTGTACTTGAGAGAAGTTCTGAGTTACACTGTACTAAAAGGCAGAGAGGCTAATTATATGAATTGGGTTTGGTTTGTTCCACTGATCACCCTAAGTTTTGAATCTGTTCTTTTTCTTGCCTTTTTCTGCAGAAAATGCCAACAGGGGACATTGAAGTCAAGGTGGAGACTGCAGAGGTTCTCAACTTTTGCAAGAAGCTGCCCTTTGAAATCAAAGATTTCATCAAGGTGTCTGCATTCTTCCCTTGTACCAAGGCAGTGGATTTTCAGTAAATCAGGAATTTGCCCAGGGTGATGGCAAAACATCTGTGAGAGCATCTGATTCGTCCCAGCTGTGCTTTAGAAGAAGGGTGTGTGTATTGTTAGTGGGGAGGTGACATTTCTAATTGAACTTATGCAGAAAACGAGGCTCAAATGTTTCCAGTGCAGAGAGTTTTAAAATGCCACACTAAGAACAGATGGGAGAGGGAAAAGTGCAAGAAATTCAGGCTGTGCTAGCTTTTCTTGAATGTGAAAGAGAATCTGCCAATGCAATACTGTGTTTTAGGGCAAGCATGCTTAGTTTTATCTGGGTGAGTAGCTAGTTGGCCAGAGGATTTTCTTCAGTGAGTACGCAGTCTTATAAAAGGTTATTCTTAGTGTAGTCTCTGTGGTGTATGCAAGACACTGCTGTTAAGTTCTGACTGTATGACTTTTACATAGGTGTAAGAACTGGGAGAACTACGTGCTGTTCCTTCCCTGTTACATCTCCTGGGCAATTCCCACCATCTGCAGTAGCTTAATTTTCCTATCTGTGATAAGTGTGTATCACCATTTGGTTGTTCCTTTAGGCATATGTGTGATACTGCTTGTCTGCTTAAAAGCCCCAGGGATCACTACAGTCTGTCAGAGTGGAGCCAGAATTAAGAGGGCTGAAATTGAGGCAACTCCTGGTGCAGAATGGATGTCTGTCTTTTTTCTTCTAAAAAAACCCAATGATCATGCATTGGAGACTCTCTCAGTGTGCTCTTTCTCCATGCTGTGGGTTATGCGTGGGTCGTGGCAATAGAGCAGTATCCTTTTTCAGCTTTTCCCCCTTTTGTCCTATGGCTTCATTGGACATGCAGTTTGAGTTTTGTTTTTTTTTCCCCAGAAATCAGAAGCCTTGCGCATGCAATATCGCTACTTGGACCTGCGCAGCTCCCAGTTACAGCACAACCTGAGGCTGAGATCCCAGGTGGTGATGAGGATGCGAGAGTACCTGTGTAACCACCATGGTAAGCAAAGTGCTTGAAGAACAGTGTGTAGCAAACAGCGTTGTAGAGCAGAAAAACTCTTATTGCTAGGAGAGAGTACCAAACAACTTTAAACTCCAGACTGTTCTCACTTGGGAAGGACACGTTGCTTGTAGTGGGAGACTTAAAGTGATGTCAGCAGGTCTAAAGAACAAAGGATGTTGAAATATCTTAGCTTGCCACAAAGCAGTTGTTTCAAATGAGCTATGTCCAGAATTTGAAGTGATCAAAGGCATTTTGAAAATAGTTTCCCTCTTTTGGTCATCCAACTTGAGGCGTATTAAGGAGATGAATTTCTTGTAGGATTTATGTT